TATGTCTCCATCTCTGATGGTCTGCATGCTTTGGGTCTAAACATTCTTCCCCGCCGTTTGTGCTGCTACAGTAACGCGTCCTGAAGGCCACTTATACGAGCAGCGTTTTTTTTTAATGTGAAGCAACAGTGACCTCTAGTGGGACCTCAGGGAATTATTCTGCATCAAAAGCATTTATTGGCATTTTTTGCACAACAAGAGACAGTAAAGATCAGCGGCCTGCAGCTCTGGGCCTGAAGATCAACCTGCAGAGTTTGGTACAATCTGCCACACCTGCTCCAGATAATCAACTTCAGAAGTTACTGATTGGCTGGATCAGATCCAATAGATTTAGACCCATATAGAAAATAATATTACAAATGTATTTATCAAATATATTTTGCAATGTATGAAAATGGCCAAAAAAATATTTGTTAGACATATTTTTAAATTACAGATGTAACTAAACGTTCTTCTGTGATCTGCACTGTACTTTACATTAACCATGTACGCCTGCAGTCAGACTCTCACACACAATGTATTTCACATAAACAAGATATCAGATCATAACTGCATTTCTGCATTCTAACATATAATATATATTAGGATATCTTTTAAAATTCATTTGACTTCCAGTATATATATATATATATATATATATATATATATATATATATATATATATATATATATATATATATATATGTTTAGTTAAGTTGACCTGTTAAAGAACACGTTAAATGAAAATTACACGTCTACTGCTAGATGGTGCTGTTGCACTGTTTTTTTTTTTCCCGCCATTCAGGCCCACGGAAAATAACCACAGAGCATCTCTCCATCACGACATAAAGCCCAGATATCTCTGTAAATAAAAGGGAAAAGGGCTGATATTACAGTCTTTAAAGTCCTCGCAAGTTTAATCACAGAGAGAAGCTCAATGATGATCAGGTTCTGTAACGCTGTCTGGAACCGATGGACTGATAACGGAAAAACCCACCGGAACTTTTGTGAAACCGTTCTTTTGTGAACATTTAAGCGAATCAAAAATGAATACGGTTTAATATCAAAGTGTTTTTCTGAGCCATGAAACTTTAGCGATTAAACTACAATTGAACTACAAAGACCATGAGTCAGTGCCGGCGCCGCTTCGTGGACGTACGACAGTGACGTCATCCACGCGACAGGGTTTGTAGTCCGTTCTGATGAAAACACAGTATTTCTGTCTTTTACTGCTAATGAATCATCTGGATCACTGATTCAGTGTCAGATATAACTGAATTAAATTAAACCTCACCTCATCACATTTCTGCCTTTGGCCATCAGAAGATGAGCCGATACAGTGAGGTCATCCCTCAGAGTCCTCAGAGGTCTTTACAGTGTTTGAGATGTGATCCAGCCTTTCTCCAGAACTTTGTTCAGATGATGTAACTCAAGAGGTTCCACCAAAAGGACAGATCCAAACGGACTCTAGAGCTACTGGAAACCATTAGGATTAAAAACCTTATGGTTTCGCTTTCTTGACTTAATGGTTTTCAATAGAGACCACTAGTTTCCTGTAGAATACCTTTAGATCCCATCAGGAAACCATCAAATGCATTTAGAATCAGCCACTTGTCGCCTGTTAAACCATTAGAATCCTTTACACTGTGCACCCATTGAAAAAAGACAAAACACATTACAGAACCATCAGGAACCAACAGAAACACAGTGGTTTCTATGGGTTTTTTCAGCAGGCACTGCTCTGGTCTGCAGCTATATTTGCATGAACTCCATAGAAATTACATTTATTATTGACTTCACATGTAAACTCAGTGTGAATTTAACCCATTTCCTTCTGTGTCGTGATGCATTAGTGAGTCAAACTCAGTATCAGGGAGGATCTCTGAGCCAGCTGAGCGTTTTCGCCCCACGACAGGTGAAACATCATTTTAGTGGTTAATATTTTGCTCTGCCTGCTGGTGCAGTGGTGGTGTTGAGAACCAGGGGTCGCCATGACTACAACACAAATATAGACATTTTATTTACTATCAAAACCACCAGTGAACCTACACGAGTCTTCTGAGTTTATATGGAATGTTGATGATGAAAATAGTGGAAAATCTGAAATAATAAGTTTTCTTTGGGGACTATTTTGCCTCACAGCGCCCTGCATGTATCCCTCCACCATGAATGGAGTTCAAGTTCTCAAAACTATCATAAAACAGTGTCTCAGTCATCAGGCAGTGAATTCATAACCATTTCCTGTAGGAACTTTCTGTGAGGGAGCTTTTAGAGGGGGACGTCTGGTTCCTATCACCACCACTGTGAACAGTTTATCTAGAACGGAGCATTTCACACCAAACCACTCTGAACCACATCTTAACCAGTTAATTATGCAAAAAACTTTAATATGATCATATAATAACTCCTTTTTAATATGTCCTTAATTCCTTCCTTTAAATAACTGACACTAAAGCTGAGGTCATCTCATAAGCGTGATGCGGCTGTAGTGACCGCTGAAGTCGTGTGTGTAAGATTCATGTGTTAAAGCTCTGTGATTACAGTCCTGCTGATAAATGAATCCATGTTGTGTTACTGGCCTGAAAACTGATTAATTTGGTTTGGCCCACGGTGTAAATGAGTTTGACACCTCTGGTTCAGAATAAGAGACCAAACTGTAAAACAGAACATAGAACACATAATATTGGTCAATCAAGAAGATCTGTTTATTAAAGTGAACAAAAACTGCATAGAAACTGTTGAAAGTCCAAAAGCAGCAAATTCTCAGTCAACATGCAGACGCTTTAGCCTCCACGGCCGTATTTAGACTCAACACACGACATAAAGTCATGACTTTCCCTGAGCTCGTCTGACCCCCAGCGAGGAGAACAAACACAATACACACATTAGTTTAACAGAAATATTTTAATTTAAATTTGAAAAATTCTAATCTAAAGATTAAACTCACACTAAACAACCTAAAAGACACAGAAAGGGACGAGGAAACTCCTCCAGTGTGAACCAGTCATGTTCAACATGCTAATGTTTACGTTTCTAATCACACTGAATAACTAAAGATATAAATCATATAACTAGAAAAGTGTCTGGCAGCAGATCAGATTTGTGTTTGTAGGTAAATACAGCCGACATATTTGTGATGGAAAGCGTGAGAGAGCTGATCTAATCTCACAGTTTGCTAACTTCGCTAATCTTAAAGCTAACAGCTCCAACATGAACACATTCAAAACATCCACCAAAAGCAAAACCTGTCATTATCATTTTATTCTAATAAACTAAATATTGGTTAGAAATATATCAGTTGTTTTGTATGAGGTAGATTTTTAATGAGGTAATTTTATATAAAAAAATGTAAAAATTCTTTGGTAAAAGAAATTGGTGTAAACTTGTAGAATAACTCTTTAAAGTCTGAGTGAGTGTGAAATCATTCTCCTTCTATTCTGTGATGTAGTGAGTGAAACTCATATCATTGGTTAATATTATTATTTAGCCCCACCCACTGGTGCACAGTGACATCATAAAAATCAGAACAGATGGGGCTAAAGGGCAGTTCCACCCTAAAACTAGAGTTTAAATTAGAATTAGTAGCATTAAAGACTCATTAAGACTCATCAGTTTGACAGAATTCACAACTTTTGTGTTCATCCATCAGCGTTTTCTCACTACGGGACCCAGCATGCACTACCCACATACATCATACAACTACTGGGAATCACAATAAAGAAATCCTGACTGCTAGCATAGCTTCTAATAAATACAATACAGTGCACTGAATGGTTTCCTAGCAGTAACAACTTCCTTCTGCATTAGCAGGTAAAAAAGACAAAAGGCTACCGCACACCTTCTAAAGACTACTGCAGTCATCTAAAGACCACCGCACACCTTCTAAAGACTACTGCAGTCATCTAAAGACCACCACACACCATCTAAAGACTACTGCAGTCATCTAAAGACTACCACACACCATCTAAAGACTACCACACACCATCTAAAGACTAGTGCAGTCATCTAAAGGCTACCAGACACCATCTAAAGACTACTGCAGTCTTCTAAAGACTACCACACCATCTATAGACTACTGCAGTTGTCTAAAGGCTACCACACACCAGACGAGAAGCTAAACACCACACAGCAGATAGTACAGAGCTTATCTGCAGCTCATAGAAAAGCTCAGATAAACCTCAAAACATCAAACTCAACATCTGGTTTGGTATCAGAAAACAAACTATTCACAGATAAAGATAAAGTATGAGAAGAAACACGTTATGATACGACTAGTATAGCAATGCTAGCTCAGGTGAAAACAGACGATCAGCGTTTAGATTGACACGTTTCTCTGTGTAAATCTGAACCTGTGTTTATTTACTACGGCTTTGTGTATTTCTGAATAATTTCCTAATAATACTTTACAAATTTGAATATAAAATTCGACTGAAATACCCATCCCTGTATTAGATACGACACCGAAGAAGGAGAACCAGAGAATGTTCTGAGAATCTGCTCAGTGTGTCTTTCTAAGAACAACCTGAAAAAGAAAAAGGTTCCCCTGTCACACGGAACCTCACTGAGACATTGGAGAGGACAGAAAAAAGAAAATAAAGGAAACTTGTTTATATACAAACCCTTTTGTGTGTCATTAACAAACTTAATTTATCTCTCAACAAATGTCTAATAACGTGATTAGCATAATTAAATAGAAATTAATAGAACTTGTTGACGTATTTTTTCTTCTTGGCGAAAGCTGATGGACTATTGGACCACATTCCTTCCCCATGCTGAATGAGGTAGGTGTTCAGGTAAGAAACCCAGCAAAGGAAAATCCCTGAGAGAATTTACTGCATTAACAATAGTGTCCAGCACGTCAGCAGGGCTGCAATGTTGAGTAAACATTCGACTTTCTGCTTATCAAATAGCTTCTGTTCCCAATATTGATTACGGTCCATCAAACTGAATAACAGACACCAAAATCAAATCCTTCAAAGCTGAGCTTTGTTCTTCCCCCATCTTCTCTTCCTATAGCAGAGCTAGAACTTCAGGATGCGGTTGTTCCCAAAGTCCACCACAACAATAAACCCGTCTGGCGTTACCGCAACACCAGACGGACGGTCCATCTGGCCCGGGCCGTCCCCTTGTGTGCCAAACTTGTACAGGAAGGTTCCATCAGCCTGGAAGACTTGCAGGCGGTGGTTCCGAGAGTCGGCCACAATGATGCGGTTCTCTTGGTCCACGGCCACGCCTTGCGGACGCATGAACTGTCCATCGCCGGTTCCTTCGGCACCTAGAAAACGTGCCGATTTGCAGTCGGGCTGGATCACCAGCAGACGATGATTGTTGAAGTCGGTGACGACCAGGTGATCCTCGCGAGTGAAGGCAACACCGCGTGGCGAGTCAAAGTGCTTCCAAAGCGCCCCCTCGAAGCCGTACTTATTGAGGAATGTGCCGTCCGGCGCAAAGAGCTGAACACGATGGTTGCGGGTGTCGGACACAAGAATCTGCCTGGATGAGTTGACCGCTACGTCCCATGGGTAGGTAAACTGCCCGTTCTTTGAGCCCTTCTCTCCAAACGTGAGCAGAAACTGCCCAGGGAAGGTAAAAACCTGGATGCGGTGGTTGTCTTTGTCAGCCACCACGATTCGGCGCTGAAGGTCACACGCCACCCCGGCCGGCCGATCGAACTGGCCAGGCTGTGAGCCCAGGCTGCCGAAGGCATGCTGGAAGCTTCCGTCTGGTCCGAACACTTGCACGCGGTTGTTGCTGCGGTCGGCCACGATAACAAACCCCTCTGAGTCCACCGTGATGCCCCATGGCCGGCAAAGTTGCCCCTCAGCTTTGCCCTCACCACCAAAAGTGGCCACGGGCAACCCAGACGAACCAAACTTGTGGCCGGCCATTACTTGCACAGAGAAAGGACTGCCCTCCACATGCCTGTTTCCCACCAGCACCAACACTAGGCTTTTACCCACACTCTGCGCCACATAGGTGAAAGTGTATGTGCCGTTGTTGTGATCCAACACGTCCGCCATGGTAGCGCTGCCATTAGCGTCCAGGACCGCAGCTGATACGGGGTCTCCTCCCTCTTGCCGCTGCTGACCCTGATGGTCCTTTGCTGTAAGGGTAAAGGAGGTGGGTTTGGTGCACATGGCTTCCCGGAGACCGTTGCCGCGGGCGATGCAGAGTGGGGCGAACGCCCCCGTGTTCAGCCGGCCCAGCGAGCGCAGTGCCTGGAGCAGCCCCCCGTCTGGCCCCGTGAACAGAAACCACTCGTACTCCTGTGGCCGCAGCAGGGAGCACAGAGTTTGCGTGGCTTGAGTTTGTGAAATCATGCATTCCTGTGCCAACAGCAGCTCTGCGACGCGTCCACCACCTCTAAAGCCTGCGCCCAGCAACCGCGTCACTGCAGAAACTGTGGAGTCCAGTTCGCACAGGTTCTGCTCCAGCTGCTCCACCTGCAGGAAAAGGGACTTGGCCTTCACCTGCCGGATCTTCTCCACCTGAACAGGAGAAGGTATGAGAGACTGGGCAAAAGTCTGAATGACCATTTATTATCTATTATCAGAGATTTTAAATTTCTTGAACATATTTCTTGCAAGGACGTTACACATCATGCCAGGCATAAGATGCATTAAACCAGGTGTGCACCAGCTTTTTGTTTGGGAGGGGGGGTGTAGTGAAGTGTGTGTGGTGGGCTGAGAGCCAGCAGGACAAAACAATATACAAATAAATAAAGTGTGTAGGTTTCAAAATTTAGTTTTGTATTGTATTTTATAACATTATGCTGGATTAAAATGAGGAATCGAATAAGTTGATCAGGTTTTTTATTTATTTTAGTCAAACAGATCAGTTTAATATATATGTATAAGATATGTATCATAAAATATATAGTATAAAATACATCTGAGATCTCATTGGGGGTGGGGTTAGGGTAACTTTCTGGCTAGGGCTGAAAGATTAATAATTTTTCTATTGAAATTTCAATTTGAAAGAGTGCAATTTTCAAATCGCAAGAGCTGCAATTTTTATTATAGAGTACATTATTAACAATGTTGTCTTAACAAGTTTTAAATGGGGAAATTTAACCTGATAACACAGACCTTGTGAACTGCCTGTAGATGAATTAGACCAATCAGAAGCAACAAAGCATCACATGACAACCATCACAAGTAACTGGTAGCCTAGCACAGGCAGTGTTCAAGATTCATGCCAGAAAAAGCAGATATTCTGGTGTTCTTGGCCAAAAAACAGCCCTGGAAATTAATTTATAGAAAATAATTGCATTTAAATCACAATCTCAACAATGTTCGGAAAATCACAATTAAATATTTTCCCCAAAGCTTTCTATCCTATTTTGGGCCGGGCAAATCAAATGTCCATGATTAGCTTATTAAATATTAGATATATTAACTAGATTTAAGATCTTTTCACTTGACAAGATATCATTTTTTGTAGTGCATGTAGTGAGTAACAGTGCTGCCCTCCACACAGTGGACTGGGGTTCAGTTCTCAACCTGAGCAAAAACGTGACTTGTTAGCTTCATTAGGAAGAACATAAACTCAAACTCACCTTCCAGAGCAGCTCGGACTCCCTCTCCTCCAGAGCTGCTCTATAGAAAAGGATGGCGGCTTTAACATCTGTCTGAACCTTCTGAGCCTTCATCTCCACCAGATCCGCGAGCAGCTGGGCCTTCTCTATACTCACCTGATCAGGTGGACGGATGGATGGATAGTTAGACAGATAGACAAACATAACTTTACTGATCCCGAAGGAAACTGCTGTGCTACTGTAGCAAGACAAGTAATTGCACATAAAGTTACATAAACGAGGCAGAAATAAAAAACAGACAGAGTAGAATATGAGAGAATCTATGTGTATCTATTAATATATTTACATAAACATATAAGACAGACTTTAGTATTTCCATGAGAGCAGGTGTTGCAGTAAATGGTACGCAGTAGTTTAAACACAGTGAGTATAAACAGAACTGGGAGTATCAGCAGTGTTTACAGTGTACAGTGCACAGTGAGAGTCAGTACAGTAGTGGTTATGATATATTGCACAGTGTGTATTAATAAGATTAATTAATAAAGTGGTGATATGATGAGACTCAGCGCAGGTCAGGCAGCAGGAGGTCAGTACCGTCTGCAGTGAGGACAGAGGTGTAAAATTCAGGTCCAGAAAGTAAAAATCCTTCCCAGGATTTTGTTCCAACTGCCTGGACAGCTCTGCTGGTGGTCTGATCTAACTAGAGAAGCCAGGCTGTTGGAACAAAATCCTGAGAACGATTTTTACTTTCTGGACCTGAATTTTACACCTCTGAGTGAGGAGACTGGCTGTAGAGCCTCATAGCCGTGGCGCTGTAGTGATGCAGGAGCTGGTGTGGTGAGTAACAGTGAGTGTAATCATCACAGAGAGACTCTTTCACACTAGACTAAACACACAAACACAGAGAACTGTGGGGAATCTGAGTGTGATGAAGCTGCACTACAGCACACGGTCAGTGAAGCAGCCTGGGCTCCTCAGGTGTTCCAGCCCACAGCGGAGCTTCGGTGGGACCATGACAGAGCAAGAAAAACTGTCCACTGTCCGATTACTAACGGAGTGCTCTGTAGACTCGGCTCCTGTTTAACCTGCTGATACACTTATAAACAGGAAGCCGTCCATCACGCAGCAGCTCAGCTCCACCCACATAACATGTTATCCCTCACTGAGGGGTCAAAGGTTATCTGTGCAGATGAGCATCTGTGACGTGCGCATGTAAAAGGACATTTAGGAACAATAGAGGATGGCCCCCCGGGGTCTTATCTGCTCCGTCATTTCAGTCAGGCCCCCAAGTGACTGCTAAACACGAGCCGAACAGACAGCACTAATCTATCACTGTATTACAGACGAGCCTCTCAGTCAGCTTCGCTACAGCACATCAACAGACACGTCACCACAGACTGAATCAGAAACCAGGCGCTTAAACAAGACTCTGATTAGAACTCTATCAGTTATGTATCTGTGTGTATCACTATATATGAGTGACAGTATGAGGATATTTTACTGCTATCGTGATAATTTATGTCACAATATGCTTTTCTGAGCACATCATGGATCTCAGTACTTAAAGAACACTGATTAACCGTGTTTGACTGGTAAGTGAGCTTAACTGAAGCTGTTCAATTGGATTTAGTGCAGCGCAGTTTGTAAAACATTGAGTAAAAATCACTGTAGTTGTAGATTTATTAATATTATTATTATAGTGTTTCTGTATATGTGGCACTGCGGGTTCTATTTTGTATGTTCTACTTAATAAATCTCAGAAAATTAAATATTGTGATTCATGTCTATTGTAAAAATCTGTGAAAGTGTCAGATTTACAGATTTAAATCTAACATTCAAATTCAGGTTTTTACATTTAAATTCACATTTCTAATGGCATGAATCTAATTTTATATCTAGGTTATAAAAGCTACATAGTTTCATAATCATATAAGAGTTTAGGTTTCTCAAAAAACTGATGAAACATCACAGCATTTCAACTTTAACTGCAAAAAATGATTAGCAAGAGAAAACATCTTCAATCTAGACAACATATCTAGTGCTTCTCATTATGAGGTTGGTTAGAAGATTATAAGAGTAAGATGAGATTATTTAACTAATTTCTAAACGTTTCTACTTATTTTGAGTAATTTTATCTACTAAAAGTATCTGATCACACTGGCAGATCATTTTATTTGCTGTGAGGGTTTTGCTCACAGATAAACAGCAAAGCTGACTGGCTCTTTTTTGAAGGCGGGATTTTCCTCGTCATTATGAGCGTCACGTTAGCTTTACGGTTCATATTTCAACCAGTGTCTCCTCCTTTTTAAAGCTTCTGTGCTTTTATTTCGCTGCTGTCAGAACAAAATCTTGTATCTCCATTTTTGTTGTTTTTCAGTTTTTGACAATTTGAAAATATCTGTTCTTTACATTGTGTGTAAATTTTACAATGAAGGGACCAAAAGAAACGACCCAGAATTGACTGGAAAAACTCTGGTTCCATTGACTTACATTAAGAGTACAGTATGTTTAGGTTTTTGGAGATGAGGTTTTGTTCTGACAGCAGTGAAATGAAATCATATGATTTATCTAACACTGTTACTGTATCCTGATTAAATATCCCAGAGCGTCAAAACATCAGCAAAGTCAATACAACAGTAAACTGAACAGCCTCTGCACACGCTGAGACATGCAGGGTTAAAGGTCAGCACAGATAATGGATGTGTTTAATGTAAAGCATCCTGCAACATTAACTGTCTGTGGAGGTTAAAAGAAAGGGGTGGTGGCGGGGGTCTTCCTCAAACACCCTCATCCAGCTCCCCTCATGTTGCCATCTTAGCAAGTGAATTCTCAGATTTAGTCTATATATGTAATATTTCTCATTCTGAGGTTGCTGTAAACTCATTCTAAGATTATTATTCTAATTTCTTATTTTTCATTTTTCTTATAACAAACAAAACTATCTGCCAATATTATAGTGAGATCATTTGTCTTACTAAAAATGTCCAGAAATAATCTTACAATAAGCTTATAATAATCTCAACATGAGAAATATCAGATATATTGATTAGATTTAAGATAGTTAGACTTGACAATATACCATTTCTGACCATTTAATAATACGAGGTTTGGAACGCAAAATGTAGTGATAATTTCCTGGAGAGAGAACCGAACCCATCCCCTTCAGTCGTCTCCATCCAACAGCCAACTGATTGACATTCTATTGATGTACTGATCTACCCTATTGACCTATTTACAGTAGCTCAGAGGAGCTCCTCTGTAATCTATAACGCAGTGGTGCTGATGGTGGTTTATAGTAGTGGTGGTGGTGACAATGGTAGTAGTGGTGATGGTGGTGGTACTGGCGGTAGCAATGATGATGGTGGCCGTGGTGGAGGTGGTGATGGTGTTGGTAGTAGCGATGTTGATGGTGTTGGTGGTGGTGGTAGCGATGGTATTCATGTTGTGGTGGTGGTAGTGATGGTGTTGGTGGTGGTGGTAGTGATGATGTTGGTGTTGGTGGTGCTGTTGGTGGTGGTGGTGTTGGTAGCGATGGTGTTGGTGGTGGTGGTAGAGATGGTGTTGTGGTGGTGCTGTTGGTGTTGGTGGTGGTGGTGCTGTTGGTGTTGGTGGTTGTGGTAGCGATGGTGTTGGTGGTGGTAGTGATGATGTTGGTGTTGGTGGTGCTGTTGGTGGCGGTGTTGGTAGCGATGGTGTTGGTGGTGGTGGTAGCGATGGTGTTGGTGGTGGTGGTAGCGATGGTGTTGGTGTTGGTGGTGCTGCTGGTGTTGGTATTGTGGTGGTGGTAGTGATGGCGATGTTAAAGGTGATAGTAGCGATGGTGATGGTGTTGTTGGTGGTGGTGGTGATGGTGCAGCTGGGTTCTAACCTTTATTGCTTGCCGGGCCTGATGTGCTTCGTTCAGCAGCTGGAAGGCGAGCACTCTGGACTCCAGCACCGCATCCCACAGGTGCACCAAACTGTGGTTACCATGTTGAGCTGCAGCACATTCCTGACACACCGGCACCGAACACGTCTCACAGAAATAACGGCACACCTGAGAGAAACAGAGATATTCTGTAGTGTGAAAATGGTTTTAAATGTCATGATATATTTTTCTCCTTGACCAATAGAATGGGACGCTCTGGATCAGCTGCACATGAGCCTAAGGTCTCCATGTCCATGAGTGAATAAGTTCAGTTCTGAGAGGTCATTAGTGTCCAGTGAGTATTTAACCTAATTAAGCCCATGTATCCACACTATTCAGTGGGGTAATTTGGCTCCATTTCTATTCCAGTGTTCCTAATCCTGCTGCGATGGACTGGCGACCTGTCCAGGGATGTATCCTGCCTTCCGCCCAATGACAGCTGGGATAGGCTCCAGCACCTCACCGTGACCCAGAAGGATAAGCGGTTTAGATGACGTATGTATGTATGTATGTTCCTAATCCTGCTCAGTTCGGCTCTTTCAGCTGAACAGTCCGCCGTCATTAGGATCAATAAGCCATTAATCACTGTTGACACACAGGCTCAGGTCTCATTAGCATCCAGTGAAAGAGCCTGAAAGACAAACAGCTCATTCATATGCGCAAATCAGGCTACGCCCCTCTTGCCCCCCCACGTAACTGCTGAAGCTCCGTCCTTCAGGAGCTCCATCACTGCACTGAGCACTAAACCTGCTGCACTCAGTTCACTCACATGAGTACAGCACCTATAATAAACCAATAAACACTGAGACCTGAACACTTTACGCTTTTATGAATAACAATTCATTGAGATAAACAATTATTTTAACAAGGGGGGCGGGGCTGGGCAGAACACCTAGCGTGTCCAAGCCTCACCATCTCAACATGATCTACCATTAAACGACCCTTCACCTGCATCTACACCATCACAGCTACAGAGCAGCTTTGCTCCAATCAAATTCAGCAAAAATACTGATTGACAGGCTCATAGCCGCTCGCAGAGACAGTAAATCACACACTGGGTGGCCAAACACTCAGATTCTCATCTGGACGCAGTAAAGCTTAGAATGCCATCTGCTCATTTAATCTACTTTCAGCCGCGTCCTTACAGGCTGTTTCCATCTGCACCGCCTCGTAAACCTGCACATCACAGACACGCCTCCTTATTATGGCACTACTGAGGGCGGCGGTCCTGATGCTGCACTCTGATTGGCTGCTATCAGAGAGAGAGAAAACAGGGCAAAAATAACAAAACATCCCCTGTTCATATTGTGTTTTCCTGCCTTTATGTATATATTGTCTCTAAAAGCTCCTTTACACAAAGTCAACGGGTATGAATTCACTGCCTGATGACTGAGACGCTGTTTCACGATAGTTTTGGGAAGATTTCAGCCCTAAAATCCGTTCACGGTGGAGAGGTACCACTATTTCACCATCATCAACATTCCATATAAACTCAGAAGACTCGTGTAGGTTCACTGGTGGTTCTGGATAGTAAATAAAATGTCTATATTTGTGTTGTAGTCATGGCGACCCCTGGTTCCTATCACCACCACTGTAAAGACATCTGAGCTGTTGTAGTTTTTCCATCTGTGGATTCTACAGCACTGCCACCTTCACCTTGTGACCTCAGCTAACATTAGCTTCAGCTCCCAGAGCGAATCTGTGCAGAAGACTCGACTCATTAAAATAATCAGGCTGTTCATTTAATGCACCGATTATCAATGATGGACAGAGTAAACAAACTCAGTTCTGGACTGAAAGTAGAGAAACTGCAGGTAAAATATTCCATGACTACTGTAAATTAATCAGTATCTACTGTGAATGAATATTCATTATGCAGTTTTTTGGTCAACAGTAACGCAGATGTTCTGGTCTGCTCACCTCGTGGTCATGCTGAAGGCAGAAACTAGCCAGTTCCTGAAGGCCGGACAGCAGCGGAGAGCCAAAATCTAACTTGCCGAACTCTTTCTCCTGCTCTCGTCCGACCTCTGACCTCCAGCGGCCCCCGAGCACCTCGATGAAGTGGTCTCTCGTGAGGCGAACCCGCCGGTGGGCACAGACACAGTTAGTGCACAGGTACTCCTGGTGGAAGAGGAGGGAATAGTACGATTATCATTTTACTGTTATTGTGATGAATTACAGAACGATACTCTGTTCTGATTGTGTGACGGTCAGCAGAGAGAGAACCTGTAAACAACAACAACAACCAGTGTACAGAAACTGAACAGGCACAAAGTAGCTGACTGGATATCAGTCCATTATGACATCATCTAATCATATTCATTTATTTGAATCAACCGTTTGATTTTCCTCCTGTTTCTCCTTGAAAAGCACTTTTCCAGATTTTAAGTTAAACCTCTGACCCACTGTAGTGAAACAGATGTTTAAGGCACTTTATTTCTGCCTACACCTGAATTAATTCACTAAAACTACATTTCCCAGCAGCCCACCCTGTAAACTGTATCACAGAATCATATGTGGTGGAAAATAATAATATTCTGAATTAGACAACGTAAATTTTACCAGAATGTGAGTTTTGGCCTAAAAATTTACCACTTTTAGCATCACCAGCACTGTTTTCAACATTATAATCTCCTTTGTAATCAATGAACCCCACTGATAATAATGGACCCTCAATTTTCCACTGTTTTCACCCTAAAACTCCTGATCAGCTCATCACGTCATTATTAAACTTTCTATGACTAAAATAGAGGTTTTTGGCAACAAACATCAGCAGAGGGTTTAGCGTGGACTCAAAGATAACCATGGACAGTTTATTCGGATACAATTTATCACAGACTCCATCAGGAACCAGCAGAAATCAAACCAAAACCTGACTGTCTCAGCCAGAATATTAACCCCTTAACAATCCAGGCTTATTACACACTGAGGCTTATTAATCAGTAACTACAGGTACTTCAGTGCAAACTGGCTGAGCTGTTCTGAGGTTATAGAAGTGTGTAATAACGCTGTTGGCCTGCCGGCTCGTGGCTTGTTAAGGGGTTAAACTGGGCCATCCCACAAAACCTGTGGGATGAGCTGAAGAGTAGAGTCCACAGTGTGGAGCTCAGAATCAGGAGGTTCTGGAGAGGTTCTGTTGGGAGGGATGATCTCAGATCCTCTGCCGTGTGTTCCCCATTAAGCGTTATGGGAGAGACTCAGAGCTGTTATCTTTGCAAAAGATTAAATGAAAGGGTGCCGATAATTGTGGCACACACAGATTTGAGAAAAATATAAATATATATTTTTATAAATATATATAAATATAAAAAAGATCAGATTTTGTTTATTTTTAATCATTGAACTTTAAATTAAGGTTAGATTTAATATTATGAATGAAAGATCAAAAGGGTCATTAATGAAGCATGTTTTGCTGTTTTTACAGGGGTGCCAATATTTATGGCGGGCGCTGTGTGTACATGTGTGTGTTCTCAGTGTGGTGCAGTGAGACGCCTCCAGCCGTACGGTGCTCCACTCTCACCCTGCAGTCCAGGCAGTACGAGCTGGCGGGGCTCCTCTCCTCACATGGGCTGCACTGAGGAGGTGGACGGTCACTCCCACTCTGACCGTCGCTCTCCTCCGCCACGGCGTCCAGCAGCCCACTCAGCAGGAACCCGGCGTCCTCTCCGCTCACGGACCGACCCGCAGGCAGCAGGCAGAACGTGGTCAGGCAGGATTGCCGCCTGCCGGACCGGCCGCAGGTCACAGGAGATGAAGATGAGGTGGAGGAGTTGCTGCAGAACTGCCTGCTGAGTGGACACGGCGCCGAGTCCGAGGCCATCTGCTGACCACAGCCTGGAGGGAGATTAAGACCACCAGGGACTTTATATATACACTCTTAGAGAGACAGTTCCTCAAGGGTTCTGTAGTAAAGACAGTGGTTCTACAGTCAACCATGAACGCTTGCATGATTAAATGGTTCTCTGCGTGGTGAAATGGTTCTTCAGATTGACGGAGAATGTGCTGTAGACGGTCCTATATAGAACCTTTTAAAAGGGTTCTAGTATTGTTATAATTTCAAGCTTGTAATAATAATAGAAGAGCACTTTTGGATGCTATATAGAACCCTTGTCAAAATACACACACACACATATTCACACACACACACACACACACATACACACACACATACACACATATACACACACACACACACACACACACACATACACACACACATACACACATATACACACACACACACACACACACACACATACACACACACATACACACATATACACACACACACACACACACACACACATATACACACACACACACACACACACACACATACACACACACACACACATACACACACACACACACACACACACACACACACACACACACACACACATACACACACACATACACACATACACACACACACACACACACACACATACACACACACACACACATATACACACATACACACACACACATATACACACATACACACACACATATACACACATACACACACACACACACACACATATACACACACACACATACACACACACATATACACACATACACACACACACACACACACACACATAGACACGTGTATATTTGCATGTTTGTGTTGATTTTCAAATATGAAATAAAGCATTTCTTCTAAAAAAAAAACAGCACAGACCAGTTTAAACCAGTATGAAATGCTGGTCTGTGCTGGTTTGGTCAGCAGGGAGGTGCCAAAACGGTTACCGGCCTCGTTTTATGTATATATATATTTTTTTTTTCTGATTTTCACTTTTAAAAACTATAACAAAGCGTGCAGTTTAACAGGGGTGCACAAACTTCTGCATATAACCCTATGTCCACTCTGACCCACAGTCCACTCCGCTTTCTCACTCTGCGTGTCCGCCTCTCCAAATCCCCAAGACTGTGATCGATAAGCGCGTGACTGATAGATTATATAATATCGATCCTATTGAACTGATCAGCTCATCACTGTGTGTGTAAACAGAGACACTCACGTTACCCGGTCTCGGTCTCGCGCCTCGCCGCAGGTCTCACGATCCGCTGGACATCTCCACCGCACGCAGGAAACGTGAGGACTGGCAGCGCGAGGATGCAGGGGAGGGCCTGTAGTAGGGGGCGGGGCCGCTTAATCCTGGGTGAGGAGTGGGCGGGGCACGGGGCGCGGTCACACGCGCACGTGCTGCAGGTCAGAGGTCACCTGCGACCTGAGTTTAGCGAGAGGGGGTTTATCAGAGAGCCTGTAGAGAGAATTCCCGCTCTGCAGTGTCCTCCGGGTTCTCAGACGCTAGAGGGCGCTCCCGAGCGAGTCCATAATGAATGGGCTGATATGGAGCAAAATCATAGTTTATAAATGTTTAAACATTTTTAATGTAAAAGAATTCATTCATTTCCTGAAATCAGAGCAGCTTAAAACGTTAACACCGCTGTTATTTTTAAAGAGCTTTTAAACTCGAGTTATAGGAGTTTAAAACGGTGCCTCATGTACGTTCATGACGTCAGTGAGCGCGAACAGCCAATGAGCTGCTCCGCTCGCCAACCAATCAGCACTCAGTAGCAGTAATGTTAACCAATCAGCACTCAGTAGCAGTAATGCTAACCAATCAGCGCTCAGTAGCAGTAATGTTAACCAATCAGCACTGAGCAGCAGTAATGTTAACCAATCAGCGCTCAGTAGCAGTAATGCTAACCAATCAGCACTCAGTAGCAGTAATGTTAACCAATCAGCACTCAGTAGCAGTAATGCTAACCAATCAGCACTCAGTATCAGTAATGCTAACCAATCAGCGCTCAGTAGCAGTAATGTTAGCGTCCGGCTACCCAAAACCCGTTTCCTGTAGAAAAAGGAAACATACAGGTGAGTTTTCTTTGTTTTTTAGTGAAATTTATTAAAATTAAAGGAAATTTAATTAGAAACTTTTAGTTTTTAGGCGTTGAGCTTCATTCTCCCCCAGTCATTGAGGACTCCCTCGTGGGCGCCCTCTGCTGTTTAGCAGTCCTGTACTTGATATAACGGGGGAAATAGGAAGCGGCCAGACTCCTCACTAACCGGCTCTGGGTTATCTCACCTGTATGTTTCTTTTTTTCTACAGGAAACGGGTTTTGGACAACAGGACGCTAACATTACTGCTACTGAGCGCTGACTGGTTAGCATTACTGCTACTGAGTGCTGATTGGTTGGCGAGCGGAGCAGCTCATTGGCTGTTATAGATATACATACCTAGATGCCGCATTATAGATATACATACCTAGATGCCGCATTGGGTCCAGCCAGGTGGCGCCGCCATTTTGGGGCGGTCAACATCGCTGCTCGACTGCATTCAGTACCATTACAGAGCAGCAGTTTAAGAAAGATCCTGTCTAAAATTACACTATTTCAGGAATATCACTCTCAGAAAGAGGGAGAGGATTATATAATGGAGGGAACGCAGCGATCCACACTCATGTCTGTGTGATGTGTGTTGTCTGTGTGGTGTTTGTGTAGATGTGGCCGTGTGGTTAATGAGGCACAGAGAACCTGTTGATGTGATTGTTTTTCCTCTGGTTTTATATTAAGATTATTTCATTTAATAGTCTATTCAGGATCTTAACTTTATGTAGTAGTTATTTATTCACAGTGATGGTTAAAGCTCTGTAGCTCGGTAGGTTACAGCATTCCTTAATCCGTGTATTCATAATAGATTAGCGTTAGCATCTTCTTACACAAAGCTGAAGTGGCCTTCTTATTCACCAGATTCTTGTTCGAGTTTTCCCGTTCCGAACAGGAAAACTCAAACAAGGCGAATAGGAAGCCGACTTCAGCTCCGTCCTTCTTGCTGTGTTTTAGGGGTTTATTTTCTTTTTATGTGTATTAAGATTAGAAGTGATTCACACACTGATGGATTTGCTGATGTGTCTGATTGTGTCTCTTACGCTAAACTCGGTTTTTATCGTCAGGTGCAGACTGAATAATTTCTTGCTGGTCCGGACGGCTAATTATCACGATCAGTTATTAAAGTAATAAAAGCGCCCTCTAGCGTTTGAGAGACCCGGAAGACATTATGGAGTGGGAACCCTCCTGTCTGGTTTAACTCCAACCACAACCTGCTGATTTATTCACAACCTGACTGGCTGGAACTGGGAGTGCTCATACATATTTAAATACACACAGTGCTAAAGAAAGATGCTTCTTCAACGGCTCTTCAGTAAAAGCAATGGTTCTATTTAGAACCAGAAGTTCTATAAAGAACCTTTTTAAAAATGATTCTATATAGCACTAAAAAGGGTTCTTCTACCGGTACACGCGTATGTATGTATAGAGAGGATAGTAGTATTATGTAATGTATTATTAAGAGTAGTATATTCTGTTTTATGACATCATTGATCACCCAAAGCTGAGTGACCACTTACCAATCCTGATAGAGGAAATAAACCCGTGAACAAAGCGGTTTACGGCTCTGCAGACACACTGTCAGTTTCAGGAACTGTACAAGAGCCTTGAGCGCCAGAACAAACCTTCATCTTAATGTAAGTGCTCCCCCTCAAGGCCAAATTTGGTAATACATTGTGCACCTTAAGGGAAAATCTTAACTTACCGAGTCAGAACTGTTCACAGTGGTGGTGATAGGAACCAGACGTCCACCTCTAAAAGCTCCCTCACAGGAAGTTCCTACATGAAATGGTTATGAATTCACTGCCTGATGACTGAGACACTGTTTTATGATAGTTTAGAGAACTTAAACTCCATTCATGGTGGAGGGATACATGCAGGGCGCTGTGAGGCAAAATAGTCCCCAAAGAAAACTTATTATTTCAGATTTTCCTCTATTTTCCATCATCAACATTCCATATAAACTCAGAAGACTCGTGTAGGTTCACTGGTGGTTCTGGATAGTAAATAAAATGTCTATGTGTGTTGTAGTCATGGCGACCCCTGGTTCCTATCACCATCCCACTCTTATGATGATTTTTTTAAATGAGTAATTTTATAAAAGCTCTCTCATCTTCTGAGTTGTAATTACGCGATTCTGTTTAACTAAAAATGACGTTCACAGAGACGAGCATCTGTTTATTTTTCATTGACTTCTTGTCAGAAATATTTACAGAAACATCCGAACACTGAACAAACAGAAACTGAAAACACTCAAAAAACTAACTACGCCTGCTGAATGGGGCTGTCCAGATCCCTGCCCGGTCAGTCTCCTCCATCATTTATAAAAAGGGCAGGTTTTGATTAACAGAGTCACTAATAAAACAAACCGCAGCGTCTCACACTGAGAAAACACAAACCGCACCAGCTGGACCTTCACCTGAGTCTTAAAGTAAGTGCTAAACGTCCAGTTTCATCTGCTTAAAAAACAAACAAACACGTAATGACAGCGGTCAGTCTGTGGCCTTTGATTCCTGATGAATTTACACACTTCTGATATCTTAACAAGCAAAGACAAACGGAAGGAATTTAAAACGTAGAGAAAGAACTAAATAATTCTACTGGAGGAAAAAACAGCTTCTTATTAACCTGTTTACAGTAAACAAACAATCAAACGGTCCGTCTGAGTCCAACTGAAGTTCCTCCATAATGCGTAATTATGTACAATTAAGCCGAGCAGCGTTTCAGAACTCGCTGACAGACACGTCTGTTCCTGCTGGAGATCTAAAATCTCCAAAAGTGCTGAGGATCCAATTTACACTCTGTCAAAAATAAGAACCAGGCCTGCAGCAGAGGCTCGCTGTCTGCACGTGTTTATTAGGATCGATTCTTCATTCCTGAAGCCCTTAAACTGCTGACTGTAGGTTTGAGTCAATGAGGCGAGTCAACATGTCTGGTTTAAGTTTCTCAGTGGACGTCTGGTCTGTTCCTGACAGCGATGCTGTCCGGTGCGTTAGCTCGTCCACATCTCCTGAGCCCAGGTCTGGTTGTGTGAGAGCCACTTGGTGGCTGAGCTGCGGTCCAGGTGGAAGAACTGCTCCTGGTGCTGATTCACAGCCACGTAGCGGATGCTCAGTTTGGGGTTCGGTATCAGCGCCGCGGACAGCAAACGGCAGCCGGCCGCCAAATACACGCTCTCCTTCACCGCCTCCCCGCAGGACGACCTGCAACAGAGACGTCACTGAACATCATCGTCACGCTCGCTCATTTCGCTGTTCATGCTCCACAGAACTTTCTCTGAGAGAACCGAGGGCTTTTATTCACTCACAGAATTATCAAACAAAACAAACCAAACAGAAATGATTATAAAACTCATCGCTCTGGTTCTTAATCTGATTAGCTGAGCCATGTCTTAATGCTCATCGGGAGCCCTGAAGGGTAAGAAGAACCATAATATAATAATAATAATAATAATAATAATAATAATAATAATAATAATAATAGACATTTATTTAAAAGCGTTTCAAGATACACAAGGACACTGTACACAATAGATGAAGATAAAAATTAAGATAAAAACAAGTCACAGAAATAATAACTGGGTAGAGCTAAAATTAATGAACATGTCGTCACAAATAATCCATCCATCCATCATCTAAACCGCTTATCCTTCTGGGTCGCGGTGGGGTGCTGGAGCCTATCCCAGCTGTCATCGGGCGGAAGGCAGGATACACCCTGGACAGGTCGCCAGTCCATCGCAGGGCAGACAAACAGACATATACATCCACACACACACACTCACACCTAGGGGCAATTTAGCACGTCCAATTGACCTGACTGCATGTTTTTGGACTGTGGGAGGAAACCGGAGTACCCGGAGGAAACCCACGCAGACACGGGGAGAACATGCAAACTCCACACAGAAACGACCCTGGTCACCCAGCCGGGAATCGAACCCAGGCCATTCTTGCTGTGAGGCGACAGCGCTACCCACTGCGCCGTCACAAATAATTGGTCAATTTATTTATTTTTTCTGCCTGTGTAACAAACCGAAAACAGCCCAAAAATGTATTTTTTAAAATAATATTTTAAAATATTTTTAGCATTACTTTTTTTTAGCAGTACAATTTCTGGGATCTAAAACCTCAAAAACAAACCTTTTTTCCATTGTTTGAAAAAAATACTAGTTAACACTAGCATGTCACACCAGCTCTGACCAGCAGGGGTGGCCGTTTTTCTCCTTTACACTTCTGGCTTCTGGGCCCAGGTGAAAAAAACTGACCGGGGAGCTTAGGCTACGTTCACATCACCAGGCTGAAGTGGCACAAATCTGATTTTTTCCCCTAATGTGACTCAGAACTGTTTTCAGAGCTGTGTGGAAACAAATCTGATCTTTTTCAATCAGACCTGAGCCACAGATCAGATACGTATCTGATTCGTGGCCATGTGACCTTAATGTGACGCTCAGATCGGAATTCATGTGCTTTTTTTCCACTAAGCTGCGCCATCATTCAGCGTTACCATGGCAGCAGCGCCGAACAGAAGTTAAAGCCTGTAAACGGTGGAAAAGCAGCTCATCTCACCTTTTTCTCCTTCGTCTCGCTCTAATAATGAAGCTGAGAGCTGATCAGAGTTAATGATCTTCTCAGCGAAGCTCGTTCTGCTCGTTAGTTTGTGCTGATGATGAACGTGATTCATTCACGTGACGTTACTGAGTAGGATGAGCTCATGAGGGTCATTTCAGGACGCCGGTTCGTCACATTAATGACAGATTTGAATCACTTAACCAGATCTGAGCAACAAGGCTTGTAATGTGAATGTAGCCTAAGTGGCTAACAATTAGCAAGCTACACCACATGATACAAGAACCGTGTCTGTGATTGGTTGGTTTGATGATCGCGGTCCTGCGCTGTGACAGTGCTAAGTGCTCTCATGTCTCTATACTGAAAGTCCACGTTACTGTAAAAGACCATGGGGCAGCATTTACCCAAACTGACCGTCTGAGTATGATGAGCAGAGGTGAGGAGGGGTCACCGGGGCTCTGAAGGCTGCTTCTCACACAGGTGATGAACATCTCGAAGGCCAGAGTCATCTCAATCTCACTGAGGCTGCACGGCAGCGACAAAGAGTCCCTCTCACACAACACCTCGGAGTAATGACCTGCACAGAGAGCACCTGCGAGAGGAAGAGAGGAGAACGTCACACAGACCGCTAATAAACAGAGACGAGAACATCAGCGTCATGAGCAGCAGAGTTAAACTGAAACATGACGTCTGAATACAGCTCAGAAAAGTGTCTCCTCTGTCTGAGAGAATGAAAATACGGGCTTTTACTCCCAGTTCAGAAACGCAGGAACCTTCGCACTGAGGTCTGATTATTAAACAGCGTCAGATCAAAGTAAAAAGAGATGAATTCCTCAATTCGTAGAGGTGAATTTATCGCTTTAACTGAAAGGCGTTTGGCTCATTCTCCAGAAAAAGACAGCGTGAGATGTTCCAGCGTCTCATCAGGAGCTCAAGGTGGATAAAGAGTGATTTTCCTCAGTGAACTGAAGTTTCTGCAGATTTCAGTGAGTTTTGTTCATGTTTCTCTCTCACAGTCAGTCACTCTGTTTTAAGGCTACTGATTCTGAACCTGAGCCCAAAACAGTGACAGAAAAGTCCACGGTCTTGTCTGGAAACCTGACCAGTTTACTTAAGGCCAGAGTTCACTGACGGGACAAACACCAACAAACACGAGCGTTCTGAGTGCAGCAGGGCTGAACGATTCGGGGAAAATATCTAACTGCGATTTTTCTGACCAACACAGTGACTGTGATTGAGTTTTAAATTCAAATTTCCCCGCTGTGAGATTAATAAGGGTCACTTATCAATTATTTTGTGTAAATTAATTTCTAGGCCTGTTTTTGGCCAAGAAGAGCAGATCTGCTTTTCATGGTATGAAGCCTGAACAGTGTGTCAGACTAGCAGGTAGTGATGGTTGTGATGTCACACATACAGAACAGGGCAGGTTTGTTTTAACTCATCCACAGGCAGCTCACAGCCTCTGTGTTTAGAAGGTTAAACTTTCTCCATTTAAAACTTGCTGATAGTGGATTCTATAATGAAAATTGCAGCTCGTTTCAAAACACGATTTCAACATAAAAAAACACTTAAAAATATTCATCTTTCAGCTCGAGGCTGCAGTCGTCCTGAGAATGTTCTGAAGAAGAACTTACGAGTAAAATGAACTGGAGTGAACAGGAAGTGAACGTTCTAGAGTCTTTCAACAGTCAAACATGGGTACGGCACACCAACCAAACGCTCATGTTTGTGTTTGTCCCATCTGTGAACTCTGGCCTTCAGACTAGTCTTCAGAGAATGTGTACAGTGTACATTAGATTGATCACCAAACCGTTAAACTCTGTCTGATGAGGGAATCACTCACGTTTGAACAGAGCTCTGCCACGACTCCACACGTTCTGCCTGCCCAGTTTGTGGATGACATTCTGAAGCTGTGAAGGTTCTGCGCTGATGCCCTGCGTCAACATGAATTCGAGAGTGTCTGCAGCGACCAGCAAAACCTGGTTCATCATGCACTTCTGTAGGTGAGCGTTAAACACGCCGCAGTACTCACCCAGCTGGACGCCATCTGACCAGCAACGACAAATACAACAGAAAATATTTCACACACTGAAAAAGAAACTGCCCACTGTTTCATATTAAAACAGGTGAATGTAGCCCAAAAATCATCTCAGCCCTGATGTGAGGGCAGCTCTGGGCAGTCAGAGCCAAAACACTGCAAATGCATCAGCACATCTGAGGTCAAATCACACAAACGTCCTACATTCAGTCCTTCGTTTAGATTCAAGATCAAGATTAGATTTTTGCAAATCCCATCACAGCAAATCTACTCTTAATTTAGGAATTATATCTTATAGAATCTCACGTCCTAAACTACGAAATCAAGGACGATAATCAGCGATAATCATCAAGCAATGAGGCCTGTAATGTGAACAGAGCCTTAGACGTGCAGATTAGATGTTTATATTGGATTGAATATATAAACCTGCTGGTTTATCACGTCTGTATATGTCTGTCTGTATATGTCTCTCTCTCTGTCTCTCTCTCTCTCTCTGTCTGTCTCTCTCTCTGTTTGTATCTGTCTCTCTCTGTTTGTGTCTGTCTCTCTCTCTCTCAGTGATGTGAGACAGAATGTGATGTACAGGACGGAGTGGGTGCCTCTAACTAACCGAGTGGCTGTCTGAGTCCCGGCAGGTTGCTGAGAATCTCCAGCGTGTCTCTGTGTGAGGTTTTCCCAGCTAGACTGGTCAGAACCCTCCTCCGGTTCTCCACATCCGCCTGGTCACACGGCCACGTGCTTGAGCTCACAAACCACTCATCAGCTAAAAAATAAATAATTAACCAAATAAATAATGAAATAAATCAAACAAAGGCACATTAAACATCACCCACAGACGACACAAACATACAGGGCTATAATTCCAAAACCGTTCACTTGATTTAATTACTTGAATTAATTACTTGAAATTCTAAAATAGACATAATTAAACTGTTTAATTATCTGAACAACTACAACACTGCTGAGGAAATAACACTGATGTGAAGCTAAAATGCAAAATGTAAATCTAAAAATAAAGCAGTATTTTAAGTGTGGGTTGTTTGCGCTGCTGTCACCTCTGAGCACATTCAGAGCTCCCTCGATGCTCCCGCTCTGGAGGAAGAGCTCCGTCGCTATGGTGATGAGCTGACAACGTGACGTCCCGTCCTCACTGCCGAAGAGCCCTTTCAGTTTGGAGAACTCCATGTGCAGCCGAGACATCACGAGGACCAACTTCACGCCCTTCACACACATCCAAAAATACAGACTTCAAAACTCGTAGTGTGTTAAAATCCACACAGTCACACAGTGACCGACTGCAGCAGCCCTGTTTTTATACACTTGCTACAACTTTCATCAGAGAAATTTCAATATTTGTTGAATTTGATTGAAAATAGTTCAAAGTAAAAACAGGTAGTTACAGGATGGCTATGAATCGCACTGAAGCACGTCACTGACCATGAATAAAAAACTAACAATCTTCTTAGAATATTTGAAAACATCTAACAGCTTTTTAGGAACTCTTCCACTCTGAATGAGGCAAAGCATCTCAGGACACACAACACGTAGACAAAACAGCGCTTACTGCAGTTATTTTACCTTCTTAAAACAGTGCATTAAGAAGGGCTGTCAAACTACTCAAATAATGAAATGTGATTAAGTGCATTTGTCTTAATTACTCCATTTTTCTTCCAAAAAGGACTATATACATATCTATGTACAGTCAATGAGTGAATATATCACATGTATATGTACACACACATATACATACATACACACGCACACACACACATATATATACCACACACACACACACACACACTATCAATGAGTGTATATATCACATCATACGTACAGTCAATGAGTGTATTTACCATATATATCATATATACAGTCAAAGAGTGTATATCTCTCATATATCATATATACAGTCAATGGTTCCTCCTTTGTAATTTTAGCCTCTCGTTCTCCCTCTTACAGCTCGTGGCTTCTCATCAGTGAAGGACACAACTTAAAAGCTGTATTTGAAAAAGGGGCCAAAGAGTCACAGCAACATTCAGGGTGTAACTACAGATGGGTCAAAGGGTCGAAGGGTCAAACTTGAAAAATTAGGAGTCCTGTTGACTCACACAGTGGACTAACAGTGGAGGGTTCCTTCAGAACTGACCCCAAAACCATCCGTTCTGTATTCACTCATTACACAAACCTACCTTGGCCCACTCGTGTGTTCTGTGATATCTGAACATCAGAGAGACTCCCACTCGTCCCAGAAAGCTTTTCACCAGCCCGTCAGGCGGCACTACCTGACACACTAACATACACAAACACAAACACAGAGAGACGTTAATACTCCTTGAAATAACTCTGCGTAATGAGAAAACACGTCTGAGGACGACTCATTAACTTTTGGTGCTGGATGGCCACAAACAAGGACACGCCCCCTCTAAACCCCGCCCCCAAATTCCTCTAGTCTGTGCTCTTTAACATCTAGAGCGCAATCAACAACACTAGCAAACCAAGCTAGCTAGTGAAACGCTACCATCAACTAACAGAACTGTCTTTCTCTGTAAGACGTAACATTTATTTTTACTGCATGTAAATCTTCTCCACACACGACTCACATCAACACTCCTAACCAAAGTTCTGGGGCCTTTTCAACCTTGCTAATTTTTGTGCTAATGACCAGGGAAATTTTCGTATAAATACAAAAACTCTCTGCATAATTCAGTGGATAAGACGTAAACACATCTTAACATCTCACACACTCAATTATGGAGAAATTTTGAAAAATCTGTGGACCTCCCCTTTAAGCTCCGCCTACACAAGGTAACAGAGAGGTTTAGAAATTTCCTAATAACTACGTCCCCCAACATTCAGCCCATAATTTCTCATGATGGTCCCCAGACATTCTCTGGATGAGAACATGTGTGTGAGTACCCGACTCAGCGAAAGGCTCGTATGGCAGCGTGAGTTTGTCTTTAGGTTCTTTCAGCAGAGCCGTGGTAACACAGCAGCAGAACCTGGCCAGTTCTCCTGCACTGTATCGACCGGCACAGACGCCACAGAACACGCTCGCCAGTCCAGGCCAGTTCTCCTGCTGCTTACATACCTACCAACACACACACACACACACACACACACACTGATCAGTTTAACACTGTAGAGAAAATTCTAGTTTTTACTCAGGTTCACATTTAGGCCGTTATAGGCTGTGACTGAAATGGAGCCTTGTTTCCTCATTAATGTAGAGCCTCAGAACCACTCTGGAGCTGCTGAATCTGTCCAGATTACAGAGGTAGTGCTCTACAGTGTCAGACAGGCTGTATATTGTTCAACCGGTCAACAATAAACCTTCCAGCCGTCCGTCACCCGTCTCCAGTCAGTTCAGCATACAGTAAAGACCATGTAGTGAATAACAGCGGGAAACAGAAAACCCGGAGTGGAGCTGGAGCGGAGTGATTAGAGAAACGCTCTGAGCGAGGAGCGGGACATTCATGCTCCACTCCACTCCCACACACTGATGAGTAAAAGAGTGAACAAAACCTATAATTTCATTTTATGATTTAGACACTAAGAGAAAATCAGCAGCTGTGCATATAAACGCAGACAGGGATCCACTTCAGTCTCAGCCTCACTGTTTAGGAAATACATAAATTAGGAATAAAGAAATGAACAGATCTGCAGTCTCACCTCCACCTGGACCACAGCCTCAGACAGCGCTGACAGTTCAGCGGTGAGGGGGTTTGCGGCCAAAGCTCTGCAGAAACAGACACACAACAGCAGAGCATGTGGGATCAGTGACGTCACACACTGTTAAACATATTACAGAGGAACAATAACACAACACAAACACTGGAGCCCCCGATAGAGGAGGACGGACCCTGTATTTAAAACTGTGAAACAGTTTTACGACTTTACATTTTATTTATATATAAACAGAAATATATAATCTGTATGTTCTGTTCTTTCCGCTTCCTGTTGCTGTGACTCCCGGCTGTAATCTGATAAACCTGACTCCTAACCACTGACATGGTAGAACACCAAAACATCCCCATCAGATAAACAGCACTTAGAACTTTCTCTCTAAATGGATATATCGCTGCTGTTGGAACTAAACCTCGTATCTCCAAAATTACCTTTGATGTAAGGCAATGGAAATAATTCTGGTTTGTCTCTTTGGGACTGTTCATCATAAAATTTACACACAATGTAAAGAGTAACAGGCATTTTTAAATTGTGCAAAAAAATAAAAACAAAAAACAACAAATATATCCATATTGCTCCTGTTGGAACAAAACCTTTTATCTTAATTTTTGACATTGTTGTTGTTTCAGTTTCTGACATAAAATGCATGTTTCCCTTTGCATTGTATGTAAATTTTATGAAGAACAGACCAAAAGTAAATGACCCAAAATTACTTGGGGTCTGGTTCCATTGACTTACATTAAAGGTGAAGTATGTTTTCTCCTTCCCCTGTAAAGTTACCATTTTGGAGATAGGAGGTTTTGTTCCGACAGCAGAGATAAAACACACACAACATGAAGAGACTCACCTGCATTTGACAGCATGGAAAATGTCCATCTGTTTTCTGGGCACCTGCAGCATCTGGAGCTCAGACTGCATCATCTCACACTGATTTACAGTGAACACACAGCCTGCATCTATCATCTACACACACACACACACACACACACACACACACACACACACACCTCAAACTTTATCTGAGCACATTCACAAACACTGCCAGAACCGTTTGGCCACACATGAGCGCACTGTACTACTCAAACAGCTCCATCTCAGACACTCACAGCAGAACCGGCGCCACATCGATTTATAGATAAATATTACGTTTGAAAACAGCCATGAAATCCATGAGGAATCCTTGTCGCCCCCCTCTGGTGTGAACAGAAACTGTCCTAGATATACAGAATATAACTGCAGTGTGTTTGTGTGCGCACGTGTGTGTGTGTGTGTGTGAGTGTGTGTCCCGATTTATCAATTTGTTTAAATTGCTTATCATCCTGAATAGCAGTTGTGTAAAGACAGGCCTTAATAACCTTTTAACCATGAACACCTGCTGATTTGTCACCATTTATCTGAAAACGTTATGAGAATGTAATTAAAGCCTGTGTGTAGTTCAGCATTACTGAGAGATCATCTCTGCTTAGACCCGCACTAATGAAACAGACTTTAATGAAAGTGATGTTGTGCTTGCTGAGTTTAAAGGTTTCACCTTTGAGGTGAGGAATATGAGCTCTGGTACCGAGCTGAGCTGTCCTCTCTCTCGCACGTGTTCATAAAGTGCCATCACGAGCTCGGGGGGAGGCTGTAAACACACAGAGGTTTAGTATGCTAAAGATTCGTCATTTTTTAAAATGTTCAACACGGTAAAATAAAAAACACTTGTTTCAACAACAAAGGCCTTTAATCAGAACAGTTAACTTTAAAATATGGCAAAGGTTAAAAATAAAGCTGGTTTAGTTCAGCTGAATCCATCAGAAATTCACGCCCGTTGTTTACGCCAGGCGTCTCCTCGACTCAGAGGGCGATGAGCTGCAGAGCCACTGAAGCTAAAAGAGCAGAAACACCTCCAAAAAAATATATAAATCAGAGGATCAGACTGTGATGATAAATAAGTAAATAATTACAATCTGTTACACCTTTAGCTCATTATAAAGCTGCAGTCGCAACTTCTATGACATGCCGCTCTGCAGCTTCAGCAGGACTCACAGCTTCTTCGATTTTTAGAACAAGTATTCAAAGCCTGCAAAATGCTCAGGCGAGCTCGAGACTTGCAAAATTAAGCATAAATTACATGAAGTCCTTTTCCAATATTCTACCCAATTTAGTCATATCCAGTTCTACCCTCTAGTTAGGACGATAACTAGAGAGTTATGGGATCTCCCATAATAGAGCCAACACTTAGACGGCTGCGCCACTCAGGATTCCCCAGTATGAAGCTCTTTATTACGAGAGGTCTGGTGTTTACACATTCACACTGCACATAAAAGCACCTCCTCACCGTTTTGTTGTGCGAGAGCAGCGTGTTGATGACGGGCAGCAGGTCCGTCAGCAGCGCCAGGTTCAGCAGAGAGGAGAGCAGAGAGTTCACGATGTTTTGACTGAAACTCGCACCAGGAGAATTAGTCCTGTAGTAGCCAACAAACACCTCCACTGCAGACGGAGACAAAGAGAGATTTAACACGACTTTATCATGGACTCTTACAGCACTGCAGGAAATCTAATCTAATCCACCACTAGATCCTCCTGATCAAGGCCTTCAGAGCAGGAAAGGAAAACTCCAGCATGTTTTCATGTTCTAATCTGATCCCTGTCTGACTACAAGCTACTGGTAAGAGTCAATGTTACATAGTCCTGAAACACTGACTGTGAAAAATAAACAGTATTTCACTAGCTACCTTCTTTTGCGTTTTGTACTCAATAAAAAAGCACAAACTGGAGGAAATGTGGGTGGAGGTTAGAGGGGGCGGGGTTTAGAGGGGGCATGGTCTTGTTAGCTCAGCAATCCAGCACCAAAACTTTAAGACTGTATTCAGACCGCAGGCAAATTGGATTTGTTTCTCAAATCAGATCTTTTGAGTTGACTGTCTGCTCTCTTATTTGCAAGTGATCAGATTTGTGTGTCCAGACATCACCAGTCTATCTGTATGGGTTGCCGTGGTAAAGAAGTAGGCGTCACGTGGTGATGCAGATTTCAAACGCGGATGCAGGAGAGATGGAGGAGCATCATCTCGCCCTCCAAACTCTTCAGAATTCTCTTCATAATCATGAATCTTTGGAGCTCTTCTTGAATCCCAGCATTAGATCACACTGGATTCAACAACGTTGCTGTTTGTTGTGTTGTGAGTGACGAAAAAGACACTGTGAAATCTGGTTTGAGCGTCCAGACTGAGACTGATCTGTAAAAATCAGACTGGAGTCGCATTTGAAACCACTTCCAGATGTGGTTTAGATCTGAATGCAAAAATCTGATTTCATGTGTTTTTTCTCTGTCCAGACTATCAATTTCTGGATACGATATAAATCAGATCTGGGCTGGCAGTCTGAACACATCATGAAGTCATTCCCAAATGCGTATTATCGTTTATTATTATTAAATCATGTCTAGTCCTGTAAGACTAGAAGCTACAATGCATACTGAGTTATCAGTGGATTTTTTACATTTTATTGGTCAATATTATTTTGTCCCACCCACCGGTGCAAGGTGACATCATTAAAATACACAAGACATTTCAGAGGCAGGGCTTAAGTTATTATATTTTGAAGGAAAATTACAGAAAACAAGAAATGAATCTTTTCAATGCTGTGATATGATGAATTGTGCTTAATATGATCAGAAACACAAACAAACAAGATAAAAAAAGAAAACTCTCTCTTACCTGCTCGCTGTACAAGAGAAGGACTTCCAGCACGACAGAACTTCTGCACCGTCTCCATACAGAACTACAGCAGAGAAACACAGATTCCCTTTCAGATAAATCCATCGATCAGGCATTCACTCTACGGCAACCAGGGGTGTAACGGTACGTGTATTCGTCCCAAACTGTTGCAGTACAGATGTTAAGAGTTCAGTGCAGCCGTATGGAGAATACGCAGCAGCCTATGTGCGAAGACTGACGAACGTAATCAAGTACAGCCTAACTGGACGAACCTGAAACACTCCTCATTCATTCAGTCATTCAGAGTGGTTTGGTGTGAAACGCTCTGTTCTAGAGAAACTTACCGAGTCAGAACTGTTCACAGTGGTGGTGATAGGAACCAGACGTCCACCTCTAAAAGCTCCCTCACAGAAAGTTCCTACATGAAATGGTTATGAATTCACTGCCTGATGACTGAGACACTGTTTTATGATAGTTTAGAGAACTTAAACTCCATTCATGGTGGAGGGATACATGCAGGGCGCTGTGAGGCAAAATAGTCCCCAAAGAAAACTTATTATTTCAGATTTTCCACTATTTTCCATCATCAACATTCCATATAAACTCAGAAGACTCGTGTAGGTTCACTGGTGGTTCTGGATAGTAAATAAAATGTCTATATCTGTGTTGTAGTCATGGCGACCCCTGGTTCCTATCACCACCACTGTAAAGACATCTGAACCATTTCACACCAAACCACCCGAGGTGACTTTATTTACATCTCTACCACTGAAATTTTGAAAAATTCCTCTTTAATACACTACAGGCTGTAGCAGCTAAAGTTACCACAGGGGGGTGCTATATGACACAAGGTGGAACATCTGTAAAACTAAATGAAGAAAAACCAGCCTTCTGCATTTGGGGGGTTCATTGCGTTTTTCTCTGTTTTACCAAACCGCGGTGAAGTGAACCGTGACGTCTGTGTACCGTTACTCTCCTGTGAAACGATCCCCTCTCACTCACTCACCTTCTCATCTTCATCCCTGGGCAAATGGAGGAACCAGCACATGTTCCGCAGGCACGAGTGATGCTCACTGAAGTAAAAACGACAATACTGGGCAGACAGAGGTGGAACATGTTAGAGAGACACTTTGGATCCTGTGTTACATATTTTCAGACGTTCTGTGGTGACATCATAGGCCTCGTTTCCCCTGCAGGGCCGAACGGTTCTCAACACGGAGGGTAACTGTTCCAGTGGCTTTTCCACATGGTTAGTTAACTGTATACTGTTCAGCAGGATGACATAACAACGTAGCTATTCACTGACTGTTCTACGTTTATGCCCATATGGTGCCAATGCAGAGTGCGGCGTTATTCCAAACCCAAAAACAAACATGTTCAGTTCGCACAGACGTCAAATAAATAAAAGCAGTGCATGATTTTAAATCCACCACTCAGCAAACAGCAAAGCTTCAATCTAACACCAGTTTCTAACTGTGAAACAGTGCTGATAACCAGGAAGGAGTAGCTGGTGACGCTCTGGAAAAAGAGCGCTAGCTTAGCTAGCATACTGCCTGCTCTGCTCAGCACAGAACAGGTTCGACTCTGACTAACAGAAACTTTACTGACACAAATTTAGATGATAATGACTCAAATCTGACGAAGCGAAGTCGAGCGGCTGATAAATTAAACCTCCTCCCTGGTGTCTGGTGTCTAAGCTAACGCTAGCCAGCTCCTCTCTCCTTGCTAATATAGCTTAGCTAAAGAGATCCAAACTCCCCAGTAGGGGCTCAACTTGACTAACTGGAGCTCAGCTATCACAAGTATACATGATAAACGCTTATATCAGTGAGAGCAAAGTCGACTGATCGGTGTTGGAGTGGCAGAAAGCTGAAACGGAACCTGTTCTGTGGTGTTTAAGCTGTAACCTGTTAGGCTAAGCTAATGTGAGTGTACAGTGTCTGCCACAGCAGTACAGGCTCGGGTCCGGCCAACCGATGACTAAAAACACCCGTTTAGAGGATAAAGACTCGTATCTGGGAAACACATTCAAGTGTCTGGTGTTGAAGTGACAAAGATAAAAAACAGAACTGTTCTGTGGAGATTTGAGCTGAACCCTGCTGGGCAGCGCTAATGCTAATGTAGTTATCCGGCTACAGGTGAAACTGCAGTACAGGCTCAGTCTTAGTAAGTGATCCTCAAATATCACCCGTTTAGAGGATAAAGAATCTAAGAGTACAGAGAGAGACGGGAGTTGGAGTGACAGACGGAATCAAACATGTTGTGGTGGGTGGTGTGTAGGGGTGGGGGGAAACTTGACTCTTAGAAGCATCGCGATGCGGACGTGGACGATTCTGAATCAATTCACAAACGTCAAAAATTGATTTTCTAAATTTTAATTGATAGCGTAATGTTGACGGAATGCAAAAGGCGGAACTTTGCAAAGTGCAGAAGTGCAGCGCCCAGACAGTCTGTGGCGGCACACTGCATTAAAAGCTAGTGCGGGGGTCGCAACCAAACGTCAATAAGAGTCATTTTGTCCTTTCAACAAAAATCAAACCACCTTAGGAGCCACAACACTGAGTCCATTTTATCATCTTGGCTGTAAATGTGTCTCAGTCAGTGCTAAAGTCCCAGTGTAGGGTAAAAATATAATACAAACAAAAACACAGACTTACTCTGCTCTGCTTCAAGCTTTAGCTCAGCTGTAGCATCACCAGCTGGAAACTTTTCCATAGAAGTAGAACAGTTCATTGTAAAATGTTGTTCAATGTTCTACTTTTTACGAGGCTGAAATCAGTTTCTTGTTCTCCAGCTTCTCGTTCAAATTTTCCCATTCCATCTTAAATGGTGCCTGAGGCGCCAGAATGTAACTGCTGCACCATTTAAGGTGGAACGGGACAATTTGAATGAGAAGCGGGAGAACGAGAAACTGACTTAAGTTTCACGTGTTATTTTAGTGTTTGACAATTTCTCATTGCAGAATAAACGCATCAGGAAACCAGCTGGAGTGATTATAATCACAAATAAGTCCATTCATCTCCAAATTATCAATGTTCGTCTTAAATCTTTCTCTTTGTCTTTTCGTTAGCTACTTGCTGGGTGAACTAGCAGTTATAGGCTACATTAATTCCAGAGTTTAAGACCATTTATTGTTAAACTGTGTTGAACGATCAGCAGAGCATTATTTTACTGTAAAGGAGGATTATTTTATTTTTCCCTACAAATCTACTTTTGTTGTGAAGCTGCAACAGGCCAGTAAAAGAGCCGCAGGTTGCCGACCCTTGAGCTAGTGTATGGAAGCACTTTGGCTATGAGTTGAGGGGGAAAACCGTATTACATTTCCACCCATTTTCCGCCCAGTTGTAGTTGCTGCCAACCAGAGGACCATCAAGCAAATGATGTCAAAACTTCCACCCAAATCTAAAAAGACGAGGCGAATTACAAACTCTATTGCAGCTTTTTTGCCAAGGATTTGCGTCCGTTCTCAGTCTTTGAGAACCAGGGCTTTCGCGCTGTGTTGCACACTTTGGAGCCGAGATACAGCGACCCGTCTCAAAGATACTGTACTGACGTAGCGACGCCCCGACTCACTACAGCGATACCAAAACCGAAGTTATCGAATCACGGGTAGAACAGCTGTAATGTGCTGTGTGGACATCCATTGCCAAAGAATCTTATTTCACTGTAACTGCACATTTTATCGCAGATGAGTGGCAGCAGCGTCTCGTGTGCTCCAAACAAGAGCACTGAATGAGAGCCTTCCAGTTCACTTGCCTCATCAATTCCATTTGATTTAGTAATAAAAGATATTGGAAGTAAATTCATTATGGATCATGACAAACACTTTGCTTTTAAAGTTCCAAGTCGTCACACAGAGAGAAAACAGAAATCCTGTATATAAAAAAAAAGATGCATCGATAATCATTTTATAATCGCATCGCAGTGTCTGAATCGTAAACGAATCGAATCATGAGGTGCCCAGAGATTCCCACCTGTAGTGGTGTGTGTGTGTACCTATTAGCCTGTTAGCAGTTAGCCACTCATCTGTGTAGTATTTACTGGTTCTGATTTAGTGGTACAACAGATGGAAAAAGAAACCAGTCTTAAGTGTCCAGACCAGCATGGAACGGCCCCGTAGGGCCCTGAGAACCATTTGGCTCGACCGTGGAAAAGAGGCCATTTTCTGATCAGTGTTTACTCACTGAGACTGGAGAAGGTTTAGGAACACTGCTGCCGATCCCAGCTGTGCCATGAACTGCACAGGAGACAATACAGCGCTTTATTCACACATCAAAAGACAGCCAACAGTTTACACTACAAACAACATTATATATTTCAGTTGCCTTCAATTTTTTCCCAAAAACGGAATTAAAAGGAGCGTTTTTATTCAGTATTTGTCACTAAATCCAGTTAAACTGACTAATTTTGGTCTCTTTATAATGAAACAGTTGGTCAGTGTCCACAAGTACTGATAATATACACAATATGTTCAGAAAAGCATGCTGTATTGCATTGTGACGTAATTTATCAAGAAAACAATATATATCATCATATTACCGCCCGCAGGCCAAATAAGTTGAAAAACAACTAATGAATCAAACAGAGTGCTCCACGGGACGCCAGAGGTGGCGCTGTTTAACGCAGTGAGTCGTGTCTAATTACGCTACAGCATTTTAGTTCAGAGCAGAGTTTTAATACAGCGTAAGTGAAACTTCAATCAAAGTAATAAACCGGCTGATTTAAGTTTGTGTGATTGGGGCAAAAATCTGATTCAGATTTTGTCAGATTACGATCCCCAAACTGTAGCTCTGAACGTCAACATTCTTTATTAATAAGCATTCTTAAAATCAGACTATGAAGTAGAAGACTGAGAGAACGGAGGACCCACCATTGCTGCGTGTATCAACCACAAGCCATGATGATCCAGCGCTGTTAGCGTTCAGGTCAGCAGATCTCTTATCCAGGTTATTATTACAGTCTGTAACAGTCTGACAGAAAACAACAGAGTCACAACACCCGAAACAGTCATGCCAGTTTAAACACGTCTACAGAGCGAAAAAACTTCTGCAGCAGAGATGATGAGAGAAACCTCAGCTGAGCTTCAGGGAGGCAGGGGGTATTTTAATATGTACGGATATCCAAACTCTTCTTGGTATCCTTCTCACTTCATTAAGAATTCAAATAAAACGTATAGAATGGAACACAGAAAAAAGAAATTATGTATAACCTTTATGGGTGTAAAAATGAACAGAATTCAGAGTTTTGATGATACAGATGACAGATTTTTCAATAAGGAGTTGCTGAAAATGTGCCTTACATTAATGCCATTGTTTCCATTTTCAATTTACTGGAACATTCAACATTATAAAAACAATAATTTTACTCTTATAAAAAAGCTGCTTTACAGTGTCTAAAACATAATTTTATGCTCAAGCCACAACCTAATAATGTCAGCCCCAAGCTAACACACTAGCCACGAGTTAACATGCGAGTCATAATACAGCGATGGTATACAATTCACCTCTATACCTCACCGTACTTGAATTAATATCTTGTATTTTTGCAATGGTAGGTTTTTTAGTGACCTGCACCGAATCACAGAAATGTTAAAACACATGTTGTGTCTCATGTTATACACAGTGAGCCTTTACTTATCCTTTACTTACACATAAGAAAATATTTTAGAAATGGGTCATTGGCCATCAAAACACCTGCCCGAGTACAGTCTGTGTGGAAACTCTGGTAAATATTTCCATTCAGAGTGAATACAAACATCAAGTTACACACTAAGCATCAAACAGATCCAAAAAGGCCACTTACCTGTTCTGGTTTCACTACAGGGTTCCTTGGGGTCCAGGTTCTGCTGTGTACCAGCTGAGTCAAAGGACTCTGAGCCTTACCACCAGCCTCCACTGCAAGAACAAGACACTCAGTCTATTTATCCATTACTCTGCTTCCAATCATGCTATCACACCAAGATTCTCCAGCACACAATAAAAACATTTCCCCTCATTAAGTCCTTTAACATCTGGAAAACCAATCAAACCTGACCTCCGACATACTCATTTTTTCAAAGAGCTCTCATTAAGTTACTATTCAAGCTAGTGACACGCCAATGAAATTAATACCTCACCAAACATCGGTCTGAAATATCAGTCCAATCTAAACGTCTGTCAGGTGCCAATATTTGTTTCATGAGCAAATATCTTCCGATACTCATATGATGCTGATTCTCATCGCGCTTCCCTTATTCAAACTGGTCATAATGGACACATCAGATATTTTCAGGAGCACTAACCTGTGAATAAACCGTCAGAACTCTCCAGTTTGATATGAGCAGTTCTCCTGGGGTTTTGTGAGAAATGCAAAAAAATACAGCAGATTTAGAAACTTTTTCGGACATTTTCTGCACTGAAATCAACCTAAAACACCAAAACTGTGATGCATCAACTCTCACACACGTACCTCGTTGACTCCAAGCCCCAAACTATTCTCTGACGACTTTGGAGCATGGAGGTCTTCCCAGGTTGCAAGAACATTTGTCCCGTCTCCTTTCCTGCCTCCGGGCTAATTTTTTGAGTCTGTCGTTCTTCCGTTTCCTTGACGACAGCCCCGAAGAGCTCTGGGTCATCTTGAATCACATCAAGCACGATGGCATCCTCCTCGTACGCTCGCAAAACATCCAAGTCAGCCCTGGCAACCGCAGAGCATTTAGGGGAACTGACGGGGGATGAGCCTCGGTCGGCCTTACCAGGCTCGCACATCTCGTCCTGCAGCGACGGACCTTCAGAACCGCTGCTGGAAGAGAGATTACTGTTGTGATAGTCCTCACTGGAGGAGGAGGAGCAAGAGGAGGAGGAGGAGGAGTCGGAATCGTCTTTGCTCGTCAGGCTGTTAAAGCTTTTCTTCCATCTTCTCCCTCCAGTCGAGTCAGGTGGATCTGTCTTTTCAGGGTGCAATAGATTAGTCCTGGTCTCCACACCAGCATTAGAACTCATCACTGAGGAAGTGGCCTGAGGTTCCGTTTTGGAACGTACCATCTCGGAAGAGGCTTTGGAGATGGGTTCTTCTGGAGGATGCAGCATAACAAGTGAAGATTGCAGAGCTTTCGTGTGAGACCGATGTCCTGAAAGGGATCTGCACCATCAGACAGACTCTGCTCGACAAGCCTGAGCTGAGGAACACTGACTGGCTCAGGTGTGGGAACCACATTCAGCTCATCGGTTCTCTTGTCAGGAATGTCATGTTGAGTAGACAGCAAACCTGAGAAGTTATCTTGATCACAGAAGACTTCTGGGGAACATTTGACCTCAGCTTCAGCGCTGCACTTCTCAACCGAGACGAGACGAGGAAGTCCCAGTTGAGGAAGATGCAGAGATTCTGTCTCTGCAGAGGGATCAGGCCCAGTGTGGGAATGGTTGCAGGGTTCCTCATCTGCTTTGCCTGGATTTTTCTGGTATTCTGCTGCTGGATCTTTTGGAATCTCCACAACCTCTGAAGGGTTTTTTCTCCATCTTACTCAGGTTTGCAGATGGTGACTGCCCTTGCCCGTTTCGATCCACAATGCTCTTGACACTTGATTGGAGAAGCTTGTAAAGGTTTTCTCTGACGGTTTCCCCAAAGGTCACACTGAGAGAAGTTTGCACTTTACTAATCCCATGATCTGTAACATCTGAGGTTGCAGGGGTAACAATCCATCGAGGGCCAGTGAGAACTGATGTCTTCAATTCGGAAGGAGGTCCACGTCTAGAGAAGGGCCAAGACTTGTAAGTGCGGGCACAGGACAAGAGAGGTCGAGCCACATAGGCTTGGGTTCTCTGGCAGGAGAACGAAAGTGGAGAGTACGCTTCACCTTCTGAATCCTCACTTCCACTGTCCTCCTCCAGATGACGGCAGCATTCCTCAGACTCTCCAGCAGCAGAGGCATTATGGTCAACTGCAGGGTTACCCTGGAAGCGATATGGAGAACCAATCCCGTTGAAGGCTGGCACACGTCGTAGTACCAAAGGAGGCACATGGAGGACTGGAGTTGCTGTCGCTGCCTCTTCCTGACCCACTGATGCCACAGCCGAGCCTCCTGTCTCAGCACTATGCTGAACCCCATCATGGTTGGAGGGGACACATGCAGTCCCTTCCCCAGAGGTCAGCGTCATCCTCTCGTGGTCCAGTATCCTCGCAACATGATTATCCGCAGTCCCGGTACACCCCTCGTGACGCACAAATATGTCTGAAACTCGTTCACCTGACGAGAGAGAAGCACAGCTATTGGTTGGAGCACACACCTTCCACATTTGGCTGGTAATCCACTTCCAATTACCGTGGTGATAACGTTGCATCAGAGACACGTATTCTTTCTTAAAGCACTGCACACCTTTATGCTCCCTCTTTTGACACAGCGCCGCCGGCAAAACGCACGAAAAGTCACGTGAGGTCACGTCAAACACCCGGGCTACATCACACAGTTTGACCTTGGGGAACTTCCCAGGCCACATAACAAGCCTGGGTTTCAGCTGAGCTTGTGCTGCAGGACGAAGCTTGGCCCCCTCCCACCTTTGCAGCGGGTCAGGGCGCCTTGAACCGGGTTTACGGACACAAGCCCGTTTTTTACTAGCAGGAGGGGTGTATTTTACATCGCCACACAGGGCACAGCACGAGCTTTTCACAGACCGTTTGACGTGTCTCCCTGAACCAAATCTCGTGACTAAACCGTAGCGTCTCTTCAGCTCAGCGTTCTTATTACAATCTGCAATAGGAGACAAAGTCATTGGGAACAGGACAAAAAGCAAAAGTAAACAGCCAATTTAACAGAGCTCTCGAGTCGTGTGTCGTTCTGTAGTTGAAGTCAGACCCATATTAGGAACTCTGGGCGTAAGCAGATTGCAAAAGCTGCATCACCTACATGGAAAGTAAACGGTGTTTTCAAAAAAATCGGTGCTCGCTCACATTGTGGTAAAGAACATTTTTTCCAAACCTGATACTTTTTGACATGCAAACACTCCTTCGAAAATCATCAGATCCTCAGAATTACGTGATCATTAAAGAGCCAAAATACTAATAATGCTTCAGGCTAGCTAATACTGCTGTGCACCAAACTGACCTCTGCACACTGAAGCTGATCTGTTTCCCTCCAATTTAAACATCCGGAAAATGTGTGACACAAGCAGATTAATAAAAAAACCTTTTATATTGATTTACCTTTGGCTACTGGGAGCATGTACAAGCTGATCTCCACAGTTGGAAACCCATATAAACATTTGTCCTTGAACTTAAGATTATACATTTTTCATTTTTCCAAATGCATAATAATAATAATAATAATAATAGTAATAGTGTCCACGGCTTTCTTGGGGTTGCACGGCTGACAGAGAAAACTGGACCAGTCTTAAAAAATTTAAAATTATTTTTTCAGTATTTGTGAAAGGGCTCCTCAACTTGGCTTTGCAGCATGAAGGACAATTGGGGTCTTCTTCATAAGGCAATCCTTCACCCAATCTTTCTTAAAAGTTTTACAGAATAAAAGTCTTTCTTGGCTTTTATGCTGCAGGACATGAGGAAATCAAAAGGAGTCGAATACTGCTCAAGTTAAGTTGTACACATACAATCATGTTAAACTATTTTATTTATAATTTTCTGACTAAACTGCCTTTTTTAATAGTTTATTTTATCTGCACGTATGGCTGAACGGTCAACACCTCATATTTTTATAATTTGGGAGATATAAATGCCTAAAGTTAACGCACTCACATAAAGAAGGTACTGTAAAACAATGATTATTGAAAAGTTGTCATGTATTTATTATCTTATTTAATAAGAAAACAACTGAAACACACATTACCCATGTATGCAGCATTGCTCCTATTTCAACTTCTTAATGATCTCGTAATTCAGAGTATTCAGTGACACTCAGGAGCCAGAAACCAGCTCAGATCCTGATAATGCTGACTTCAAGTCCTCCTCAGAAGCTCCTACTTACGACTGTGTTCAAGTGGTTTTGGTTGGAAATAAGACAGATACACTGGAAATAATGTTTCTGGTTTACTTTTGTTTTTCTGTCATTAAAGAGAGTCTGTGTGTCTTGCGTTGCTGCAACAAAGTGGAGAGCAAAGGATAATTATTAGAAGAGCAATGTGTTGTGGCTGATGAATGACTGAAATACGGCCAGTCTATCAGCGGCTATCGTCGTTTTTTTTGTTGACACCGCCAACTCAGAAACTCGGGGCTCATCAAAAAATCAGAGTCTCTCACTAGAAAACACGACATTGTGCTGGCGTTGATGTGCATTCATCTCGTAAATACGATGTTTTTCGACAGGACTTCAAGGCAGCAGACGAGCATGACACCAAGTACAGAATGACACACAACTTCAGCTTTCCAAGGCCCTCCAAAACAGGGCATCCTAAACTCATACAGCTGTTCTGAGTGTGATGTGTACCCAGACAGAAATCTGATAAGAGGGCTGCATCTCAGCCACCTTAAATCCACCACTAGTGGCAGAGCGGTGGACACTTAAAAGGTGGCGGAGACGCAACTTAAAACAGCACCTGACCTGCTCCTGAGTTTGTAGCCCACAACTTACTGTGGCTCAAATTTGAGCTGTATGAACATTTTTATACAGGTAGCCGCAAATTATACAGACCCGCTCTGAATGCTGGATCTCTGTTTAAGAATAACTCCAACAGCAAACACTGAAAGGGGAAATCCACCGATTTTTCATAATTCATGCACAAGGAAATGGTTAAGACGTAAACAGAGATGTTCAGAGAAATTTATGAAGAACTGTTCACAGTGGTGGTGATAGGAGCCAGACGTCCACCTCTAAAAGCTCCCTCACAGAAAGTTCCTACATGGAATGGTTATGAATTCACTGCCTGATGACTGAGACACTGTTTTATGATAGTTTAGAGAACTTAAACTCCATTCATGGTGGAGGGATACATGCAGGGCGCTGTGAGGCAAAATAGTCCCCAAAGAAAACTTATTATTTCAGATTTTCCACTATTTTCCATCATCAACATTCCATATAAACTCAGAAGACTCGTGTAGGTTCACTGGTGGTTCTGGATAGTAAATAAAATGTCTATATCTGTGTTGTAGTCATGGCGACCCCTGGTTCCTATCACCACCACTGTAAAGACATCTGAACCATTTCACACCAAACCACTCTGAATCTCTCTGATTACACCTCACACACTGAGTTACTGAAGAATTCTGAAAACCCGGTGGAATTCCCCTTGTACCGCTTCACGGCTCTTACTTGATGCTCGGCTCCGCAGCCGCATTATGTCGGTCTCTTTGAGTCCGGTGCTCGCCCCGGATCTGCCCTTCGGTCGGCGCTCCGCAATGGCTGCACGCGCACGTTCCGTCGGCGCAGAGCTCGACGAAGCGGATTCCACGCGCATCTTACCGTTGACATAGCACTCCGCGGTGGCGGGCTCGGTTTGAGCGTGCCTCACGTGCTTCCCTTCGCCTCCGAAACCTGGCGCGAACCCCGCTGAGCGAATCCCGGCGCCGCCGCTGCTCGCCCCCACCCCGCCTGCGCTGAGCGGAGCAGTACCTGAGTCGTACCCTGTCTGGTGCGCGGTTCTCCCTCCGCCGGGCTCTCCCGCGGGCTCCCTGACCGGCTCCTGTGCAGGGGGGATCGGCGGTTCCCGGTGCACGCGGTCGGCTCGGGCAGGGTCCGCCGCGTGCGCCCCGGTGAAAGGAACGCGGGGGTCGCAGACGGTTCGCCGCCGCTTTGGGGCCGAAACGCTTTCGAGTCTGAACGCGCTCCGGTTCAGTTTAATCCGGTGTGACGGCTGCATCGCCTCTCCGAACCGCGTTAGCTAACGCTGCCCTTCACAGCACGGCGCTAACGGCTCACTGCGCCGGAAATCGCTGAGCTAAGCTAAGCTAGCCGCTCCGTTAGCTTTCAGCGCAGCTAATTTAACTACGAGGCTGAAGTGAACTCAGCTTCTGATTCGCCAGCCTGTTCCAACTGTCCCGTTCCACCTTAAATGGTGCAGCAGTTATCATTATAACGCCTCGAGCGCTGTAATATAAACTGCCGCACCGTTTAAGGTGGAACGGAACAGTTGGAACAGGAAGCTGACTTCGGCCTCGTTAGCCGAGCTAACTTTACAGTGTTCACGGCACCGAACCCGGTGTGTCTGAGTGTCGGAGTGTCTGACTGTCTGAGTGGACAGATGTCTGAGTGTCTGAGAGTCGGACTGTCGGAGTGTGAGGGTCGGACTGTCTGAGTGGACAGATGTCTGAATGTCAGACTGTCTGAGTGTCTGAGAGTCGAACTGTCTGAGTGGACAGATGTCTGAGAGTCGGAGTGTGAGAGTCGGACTGTCAGAGTGGACAGATGTCTGAGAGTCGGACTGTCTGAAAGTCGGACTGTCTGTGTGGACAGATGTCTGACTGAGAGTCAGACTGTCTGAGTGGACAGATGTCTGAGAGTCGGACTGTCTGAAAGTTGGACTGTCGGACTGTCTGTGTGGACAGATGTCTGACTGTCTGAGTGGACAAATGTCTGAAATATGAAAGTTTGTAACGTAGCTACAGAGCCGCTAGCTGCAGCTTAGCCTAGCCTAGCCGGCTAACGGCCTGTCGTTACTCTGACTCGGCGACGCCCGGCAGTCTTTAAACCGGCTAACTCGGCTAATTTGCCGGCATGTCTGATTCGGGGAATAAAGAGAGGCTGTTTTGTTGTCGTGCGAACCCGATGTTCCTCCCTGCGCCCGAAATCATCTCCGCTAACGCTGAAAGTGTTCGTGAAATATTGTACATTGAAAGCGTAGCCACGCTCCTGTGCGCATGGCGCATGCGCAGAGTCGGAGCGTAAATTCGCCACTGAAACACTGAGTGAGCTCTGACTGATCCGCGCTCAGCTCCCGATCATCATTTACTGAGTTCACCAGCCCACAAATAACGTCTTACCTGTACAAACTCACCTAACGCCTTCACTGCGACCACTGTGGGCTTCAACACGAGGACGGCACAATCACAGTTGCCATGGAAACAAATGAGGAAACATAAATACACAAACATTAGAATGTTTAAAAAAATAAACCTTGCTCAGTTAGTGCTCAGCACTGTCTCATACAGTTAAAGGTATTACACAGGATACACAAAGGAACATGTTTGGGTTTCTGTTTTTTTTTTCTATATGAAAAAGATGTTACTGGAGTTTTTATGTACATGCACAACTCTTTTGCATATCCAGACTCCACAAAACACACTTTAAATAAATAAATAAACAAATTAATAAAATCTGGATTTATTTAAATGAATATAAGATTAATTCTGTTGATCTATTTTGACTATAATAATAATAATAATAATAATTATTATTATTATTATTATTGTTATTATTATTTTTTTGATGTTTCGTTTAAAGCAACATTTCAAAACAGATCAAGTAAAATAAGTCTCTGGCTAACAACACAACGGTAGAAGCATATTTTGAGAAATGTTGACTTTAATAACCTATGCTTTAAAAAGTGATGTGCTAAATAACAGCACACTTGTGTTACCTGTTTTAACACTTTTTTGTCACATTGTTTTCAGATTTATCACATTCTGGTTTAGAAGTAACCAGAAGAAATGTGTTGTCCATAAGTCGGCACAGAAATATTTCAACACATTTTGTGTTAGTAATAACTCAGAATATGCCGTCTCCCAGTAAACACACTGATGTGTCTAATTAAAAGAGACTCAGCTTTTGCTGTAGTTGGCCACAGCCACCTGTACACAGGCAGAGTTTTCTCTTTATGAACAGTTTGTTTGCACTCCGCTCACATCTGACTCTCTCAGCAACAACATACTGACTTGTGTTACCCGTTTTAACACACGTCTGCAGGAAGATATTGGAGAACGAGGCCCATTGACTTCAGAGGTCTATTATACAACGGCACACACAACCTAACTGAAAAACAAACTGTTTACAAAGTACAGCGCCTCCTTCATACCTGGCTGGGGTTCAGGATGACCGGGGTCAGTAACCACCCACCAACTCTAATCAAACAAATCTGTGGCCAAAACAGCTCAGAGCAGAAACGCACTCAACACTGGACTCTCCATCTCAGCACACAAGCTCCTTCTCTCTGCACACCTCCACTGATACAGGTAGGAAAGGTGAGACCTTACAGCGTCATGAGCACAGAGATTAGGCCTAGTCCTGGACTAAACAGCGTCCTGAATGGACGTTTTCCACTGAGAGGAAGTCAGGCTTAGGCCCTGTTCAGGAAACCGACCCACTAAATTATGACTGTGAGTGCCTGACTGTCTGCTCTGTTAGTGAAATATCTCTGAAGATTTAAAGTCTATAAATTGTGTAGTAAATTAAGGCCATAATATAATTACATTATGCTGCCCTGACTTACTTTTTTGCAAAATCACATTTTTTAGCTTATTTAAGATTCCGTATCCTACATAAGTCAATTTACATGAATTGCTACATGAACATTTTCCAGCCTATCTTAATCCCTCAGAATTAAACAGGCAATATATGTAAATGAGTTCTTTTCTGATTGGCTGCTATATATCGCATTTAAAAAGCACTTAGAGAACACTACTTATAACCAAAACACTATATAAAACCTTAGTGTGAATGGTGGAGCTAAACTGCTGTAGCTGAATGGTGGAGCTAAACTGCTGTAGACTGAATGGGTGGAGCTAAACTGCTGTAGCTGAATGGTGGAGCTAAACTGCTGTAGACTGAATGGTGGGGCTAAACTGCTGTAGACTGAATGGTGGAGCTAAACTGCTGTAGACTGAATGTGTGGAGCTAAACTGCTGTAGACTGAATGGTGGGGCTAAACTGCTGTAGACTGAATGTGTGGAGCTAAACTGCTGTAGACTGAATGGTGGGGCTAAACTGCTGTAGACTGAATGTGTGGAGCTAAACTGCTATAGACTGAATGGTGGGGCTAAACTGCTGTAGACTGAATGTGTGGAGCTAAACTGCTGTAGACTGAATGGTGGGGCTAAACTGCTGTAGACTGAATGGTGGGGCTAAACTGCTGTAGACTGAATGGTGGAGCTAAACTGTTGTAGCTGAATGGGTGGAGCTAAACCACTGTAGACTGAATGGTGGGGCTAAACTGCTGTAGACTGAATGGTGGAGCTAAACTGTTGTAGCTGAATGGGTGGAACTAAACCACTGTAGCTGAATGGTGGAGCTAAACTGCTGTAGCTGAATGGTGGAGCTAAACTGCTGTAGCTGAATGGGTGGAGCTAAACTGCTGTAGACTGAATGGTGGAGCTAAACTGCTGTAGACTGAATGGTGGGGCTAAACTGCTGTAGACTGAATGGGTGGAGCTAAACTGTTTTAACACTTTTTTGTCACATTGTTTTCAGATTTATCACATTCTGGTTTAGAAGTAACCAGAAGAAATGTGTTGTCCATAAGTCGGCACAGAAATATTTCAACACATTTTGTGTTAGTAATAACTCAGAATATGCCGTCTCCCAGTAAACACACTGATGTGTCTAATTAAAAGAGACTCAGCTTTTGCTGTAGTTGGCCACAGCCACCTGTACACAGGCAGAGTTTTCTCTTTATGAACAGTTTGTTTGCACTCCGCTCACATCTGACTCTCTCAGCAACAACATGCTGACTTGTGTTACCCGTTTTAACACACGTCTGCAGGAAGATATTGGAGAACGAGGCCCATTGACTTCAGAGGTCTATTATACAACGGCACACACAACCTAACTGAAAAACAAACTGTTTACAAAGTACAGCGCCTCCTTCATACCTGGCTGGGGTTCAGGATGACCGGGGTCAGTAACCACCCACCAACTCTAATCAAACAAATCTGTGGCCAAAACAGCTCAGAGCAGAAACGCACTCAACACTGGACTCTCCATCTCAGCACACAAGCTCCTTCTCTCTGCACACCTCCACTGATACAGGTAGGAAAGGTGAGACCTTACAGCGTCATGAGCACAGAGATTAGGCCTAGTCCTGGACTAAACAGCGTCCTGAATGGACGTTTTCCACTGAGAGGAAGTCAGGCTTAGGCCCTGTTCAGGAAACCGACCCACTAAATTGGGTAGACTGAATGGGTGGAGCTAAACTGCTGTAGACGGAATGGGTGGAGCTAAACTGCTGTAGGCTGAATGGGTGGGGCTAAACTGCTGTAGGCTGAATGGGCGGAGCTAAACTGCTGTAGACTGAATGGTGGAGCTAAACTGCTGTAGCTGAATGGTGGGGCTAAACTGCTGTAGCTGAATGGTGGAGCTAAACTGCTGTAAGCTGAATGGGTGGGGCTAAACTACTGTAGGCTGAATGGTGGGGCTAAACTGCTGTAGGCTGAATGGGTGGGGCTAAACTGCTGTAGGCTGAATGGGCGGGGCTAAACTGCTGTAGACTGAATGGGTGGAGCTAAACTGCTGTAGCTCAATGGTGGAGCTAAACTGCTGTAGGCTGAATGGTGGGGCTAAACTGCTGTAGCTGAATGGTGGAGCTAAACTGCTGTAGCTGAATGGTGGAGCTAAACTGCTGTAACTGAATGGGTGGGGCTAAACTGCTGTAGGCTGAATGGGCGGGGCTAAACTGCTGTAGACTGAATGGGTGGAGCTAAACTGCTGTAGCTGAATGGTGGAGCTAAACTGCTGTAGGCTGAATGGGTGGGGCTAAACTGCTGTAGGCTGCATGGGCGGGGCTAAACTGCTGTAGCCTGAAACTCTTATTTCAAATAAAGTGAGGAAAATAGTTTCAGTGATGTGGGTCTGTTTTTTAAAAGTTTTATGTGAAACAGGTCAGTATTAATCCAGACGATTACAGACGTTACTGACTCACTGTGCTTCTCTGAGGTAGAGGATGACGGTGTCTGTGCTTCTGTCTCTCATCCTGATGTGGGGGATTTCAGGAATATCGAGAGTTCATGGCGTCCCGAGACACGAAGAAAGTAAGATTTCTGTAATACAACAAAACAACACTGACAACTGACCGTTTCCAAAATTAGGACTGAAACACCTCTCAGCCAATCATGATCATCTCTAAACGTTTGTCCATCAAGCGAAGGAACAACCATCCTGAAGACAGAACGACAACATCAGTAAATCAGTCAGCTAACTTGTTATCTTTCTCAGCTCAGCTGCTGACAGTTCTGCTGATAAATCAGTCAGATTAAGCTGCACAGCTCCTACATTATTAAAACACTGTGGGAAGATGAATATTAACGCTGTTCTTTGTGTTGTTCGATTAAAGAACTGGTGTAAAAGGCGACGAGTCCTCCTCAGCAGCTGACTGGCTCTGATTAGCTCCAGTGTTAGCTTTAGCATTAGCTCATCTGAAAGGGCAGCTTCTGTCACTACAACCTCCTCATTAGACACGAAAACCTGCCGCTGTAACATCGAGTGACTGAACAGTTTCCCTGCGTCACCTTTGCCGTTGACCAAAATAACGTTTTTGAAAATCTGCACATTTTCATCTTCTTAATTTCTTAATCTTATTTATTAGTTATATGGAACACTAAGACAACCAAGGCAGCTAGTGATAAAATGAAAACTGGCGAATGCTTTTATCTTAGATGTGATGCAATTATGACAGTTAATAAGCCACAAATGGATGCTAGCTAAGTAAATTATTGAGTTTATCCACCTGTGACAATGAGATTGAATGAAACACCTGAATTCAATGATTAAGAGGTGTGTCCTAATACTTTTGTCCATATAATGTAAGAAAATAGCAAAAAAAAGTGGTGAACGCTGTAGAGCACTGCTTGTTGGGTATGATTTACACCATCTCTCCTGATTACCCACTCTGCCATTGGACAACAGCAAACCACACATTCCAATGTTTTTCATAAAGCTGCAAAGGTAAATTCTGACATTGCAATGCTCTGCAGACCACAGCGGTAAGTAAAACGTTCCATTAAGTGTGCAATGTTTCCACTTTTTGCTGTGGTGGAATAAACTGGATGTTGATGTTTTGTGGAGCCGTGGAGGCCAAATGTCTTGTTGTTGAATTCCAGACAAACTCAGCTCTCCTCTCATAATCATCCTTTACACCGGTAACACAGTCACCATGCCAGCGTTTGGGTTCTTCATATAGCCGCAAAACAGCATGTTTTCAGCGCAAACATGTAAACGAAGTATAAGGGAGGCAGAGCTTCCTCTGAATTTTGCAAACGGTCAGTTGTGTTATCACATTTATGAGCATTAACCTGTTGCCTATTTGCTCCAATTAGAGAACGTTGCTCTCAGAGCCGAGGCTGTACAGTCTTCTACCGGTTACAATGGCCCAGCAAACAAAGCTGTGGACGGCGACCTGCAAACCAATTACCACGTTTCGAGTTGTACTCACACTTTAAGGCAGAAGGATCCCTGGTGGAGAGTGGACTTATCAAAAACCTACAACATCACCAGGATTGCCATCACCAACCGAGGAGACTGCTGTGCACAACGACTCAATGGGGCTCAGATCCGAGTCGGAGACAGTTTGGAGAACAACGGCAACGGCAACAAGAAGTAACTGTGGAGTTCACTCAACAGGGGGCAGCAAGCCAGTCTTCTGAAAGGAGTCCACCAATTTTTCAAAATACCTACATAATTAAACAGTTAAGATGTGAAGAAAGAGGTTTAGAGTGGTTTGGTGTGAAACGCTCTGTTCTAGATAAACTTACAGAGTCAGAACTGTTCACAGTGGTGGTGATAGGAACCAGACGTCCACCTCTAAAAGCTCCCTCACAGAAAGTTCCTACATGAAATGGTTATGAATTCACTGCCTGATGACTGAGACACTGTTTTATGATAGTTTAGAGAACTTAAACTCTATTCATGGTGGAGGGATACATGCAGGGTGCTGTCAGGCAAAATAGTCCCCAAAGAAAACTTATTATTTCAGATTTTCCACTGTTTTCCATCATCAAAACCTCTATATTTGTGTTGTAGCCATGGCGACCTCTGGTTCCTGTCACCACCACTGTTAAAAATCTGAACCATTTCACACCAAACCACTCTGAATCACTCACACACTCAGTTATGGAAGAATTCTGACGAAGAAGTGGAATTACCCCATATATATATATATATATATGTAGCAGGACGCTATGCAGAATGTAAATAAAATTAGAATGCAATGATATGCAAATCATGTAAACCATATTTTAAGGGAAAATAGTACAAAGACAACATATCAAATGTTGAAACTGAGAAATTTTATTGTTTTGTGAAAAATATTTGCCCATTTTAAATTTGATGCCAACAACACGTTCCAAAAAACGGGGGCCTGTTTACCACTGAGTTTCATCACCTCTTTTAACAATCTGTAAGTGTTTGGGAACTGAGGAGACACTGCTGTAGTTTTGAAAGTGAAATGTTTTCTCATTCTTGTTTAATATTAAATTTCAGCTGCTCATCAGTTCAGGGGCTCATTTGTTGTATTTTTCATTTCATAATGCGCCAAATGTTATCAGTGGTGACAGATCTGGACTGCAGGCAGGTCAGTTTAGACTCTTTTAACTCGGAGCAATGGTGTTGTAATACATGCAGAATGTTGTTTGACATTGTCTTGCTGAAATAATCAAGACCTTCCCTGAAAAAGACGTTGTCTGGATGGCAGCATATGTTGCCAAAACATGTATATATCGTTCAGCATTAATGGTGCCTTCACAGATCACGTCACCCATGCCATGTGCACTAATGGCCCCCTAAACCATCATGAATACTGGCTTTTGAACTGTGCACTGATAACAAGCGGAGTGGTCTTTAGCCCGGAGGACTCAGTGTCCATGATTTCCAAAAAGAATTTCAAATGTTGATTCGTCAGATCACAGGACACTTTTCCACTTCCCCTCAGTCCATTTTAAAAGAGCTCAGGCCCAGAGAAGGTGGCAGCGTTTCTGTATCCTGTTTATATATGATTTTTTCTTTGCGTTTTAGAGTTTTAACTTGCATTTGTGGATGCAGTGATGAACTGTTTTCACAGACAGTGGTTTTCAGAAGTGTTTCTGAGCCCATGCAGTGATTTCCACTACAGAATCATGTCTGTTTTTAATGCAGTGCTGCCTGAGGGCCCAAAGATCACAGCCAGCAAATACTGGTTTTTGGCCTTGACCCTTACATACAGAGATTTCTCCAGATTCTCTGAATCTTTTAATGATATTATGTACCATATATGATGAAAAGCAAATGATCTTTGCTATTTTATGTTGAGAAACGTTATTGTTGCACTATTTGATGGTGCAGGCTTTCACAGAGTGGTGAACCCCTCCTCATCTTTACTTCTGAAAGACTCAGAGAGGCTCTTTTATACCCAGTCATGTTACTGACTCGTTGCAAATTAACCACCAGCTGGTTTTTTAGCATTACACAACTTTACCAGCCTTTTGTTGAACCCGTCCCAACTTTTTTGAAACGTGTTGTGGGCACCAAATTCAGAATGGGCAAATATTGTTAAAAAAAAACAATAAAATTTCTTTTGAAAACATTTGTACTATTTTCAATGAAATATAGGGTTTATCATTATATTTTGTTTTTATTAACATTTTGCACAGCGTCCCAACTGGAAATGGGGTTGTGTGTGTGTATATATATATATATATATATGAATAAATATATATATATATATATATATATATATAAATATATATATATGAGGTAGGTGCCGGACAGCCGTTGCGATGTTTAACCTGTTTGCAACTTCCGGGTGCAGACCCCCGTACCCCTTCATGTGTCGGGCAGAAAAGGGAGAACACTTCCAGCACCGCATATAATGCAACCGATTACACATACATGAAGTTATGTAGCTTTGTAGAAAAAGAGCCGAACTGAGGTAAAATATCTAGCCGGTGAGCTACCTCGCTAACGTTAGCTGTTAGCTTGTTGTTCTTCTCCTCAGTCATTCCTGTAAAATTACCAAAACATTTTAAAAACAGACCCAAAAAAGCACTATTTACACTGTAACATCTCTGAAGAATACTGCGGTGACCCTGAAGGAGGAGAGCAGAAGAATTTATAACAAATTTTGGCTAGAAAGATGAATGGCTTAAACGTCAGCTTTAAAAGTGCTCTGTCAGCTGGAGAGTTTGTAAAAGATTCATAGTTTATAGATCACAGCGTGCTGACGTGCGGGATTTGACCACTTCAGATATTCAGAAGTCAGAAATTACTAATTGGTTTTCAATAACATTACTGATTAAGTACATGTCTAATATTGCTCTCTCTCTATCTGTCTGTCCCTCTCTCTCTCTCTCTCTTTGTCTGTCCCTCTCTCTCTCTCTCTGTCTGTCTGTCCCTCTCTCTCTTTCTCTCTGTCTGTCTCTCTCTCTCTTTGTCTGTCCCTCTCTCTCTCTCTCTCTCTCTCTGTCTGTCTCTCTCTCTCTGCCTGTCTCTCTCTCTCTGTCTGTTCCTCTCTCTCTCTCTCTCTCTGTCTGTCCCTCTCTCTCTGTCCCTCTCTCTCTCTCTCTCTCTCTCTCTCTGTCTCCAGAGTTGCGGTCATACGAGCCATTCTAAGTGGTCATACCAAATCGTTCCGGCTACACGACGCAGTAGGACGTTACGTGAACATCTTCCTCGCGGAGAACAGAAATTTCTGACGTTATGTGAGGTGCAGGTATTTGCAGGTAACTGTCGTGCTGAATTCAGTGCTGTCCCCCAGGGCTGGGCAGTATGTCAGTGTTTATCGTAATCTAGGGTGACCAGACGTCCCCATTTTCTGGGCACTGTCCCCGTTTTTGGTGGGAATTGGTGGCCTTTCCATTAGCTCTAATATTCACGCTTCTCTGCTGTGTGAATTTGATCATGATGAACATTTTAATGTCTAACATTGGTTATTATTGATTAACCACCCCCCGTTTTATCTTCTCACAGACGTGATTGACGAACAGAAGGCGAGTCTCCTCCCTGGTAAGTAAACATTAAACTCATATTTATGGCAGACGTCCAGACTAAGTTTATAAGTGTGATGTTGAAATTAAAGATTGGTTGACATTAAATAAGTTTACATTGATTTCCAAAAAAAAAAAAACTGGTCCTCAAGTTCAAGAGCTGATTATTATAGCCATGGAGGAACCACTAGAGGCTCCTTGAAGCACCTTTCAGTGGATAAAGAACCCTTTTGTAAGTGTGATGTATGAGGGTCAAGAATCTTTTTGAAGTTTAAATAATCTCCACACAACGTAAAAGTCCTGTACCTCATTTTTCGGAAGAAGAGCCTCCCGTCCTGATGTTTGTTGTGATGATGTTCCTCCTCAGAGAAAGCCGGCCTCCGCAACGTCGCCCTCAGAGGAAGAGCCACCCAGTCCAGTCTGAACGGCTCTGGAATGTGGGCCGGCTTTGGGATCGCTGGAAACGCCATCGATGGGAACCGGAACTCGAACCTGATGATGGGCTCCTGCACTGAAACAGCACAGGAGAGTGCCCCCTGGTGGAGGGTGAACCTTCATCGCAAATACACAATCTCCACCGTGGCTCTGACCAACCGAGGGGACTGCTGTCCAGAAGGTTTAGACGGTGCCGAGATCCGGATCGGGAATTCCATAGAGAATGAGGGAAAAGATAATCCACTGTAAGTAGACGACGGTTCAGGAAAACTTTGTGTAAAGTACTGTGCAAAAGTCAGAGACCCCCTTATTTATTTAATTTCCACTCAAAACAGTCATTAAATAAAAGTTATTCATGTTTCAGCATCAGAAAAAAAGCAGAAAACAATCTTTAACAGGAAATTACCCAGAATCCTCCACAGCTAGTCTGCTTTCAGCTGTGTTCAGTGTTCAGTGAGTCACTCTTTCCCTTTATTCCAGCTTCCATTCTGTTCAGGAGCCTCACTTTCAGTTCCTCAAAGAATCTGCAGACACACCTCCAAAGTTCAGTCTTAGAAGCTGGTTGATGATTTTCTGAAGTAATCAAACACATTCAGTGGTGTTGAGGTCTGGACTCTGGGGTGGTCAGTCCATCGTTCAGCTTCTTTGTTTGATGTGTCCGTCTCCTTTTCTCAGTGAGGTTCTTCTTGATCAGCTACACATCCTTTCAGACCCACAGCGCTGAGTCGTCTTCTCACAGTGGAAGGATGGACAGAAACACCTGTGGATGTTTTCAGATCTGATCAGCTTGATTTTCTCCTCTCTCTCAGAGATGAAAGCTTTAAGTGCTGTTTATCTGATGGGGCAGTTTTGGGGTCGACCAGCTCTTCCAGGTGGTTGTTAGGAGCCACATTTTCTCTGTGGATGTTAATCAACCCCAACTCCCTTTGACTTTCTCCTTCTGTATATGAGTGGATTATCTGATATCTGATCTCCTGAGAAATATCTCTTCTGAACGATCATTAACTTGTACTTAATTAAATAATTAAATAAATGAAGAGTGTTCTCTGAAAGTTGTACAGTACTGTATGTAAATTTGGATTTAGAAAAAGTCTAATTTTACTGTTCAAAATCTCCAGTGAAGAGTTCCTTCACTCTTTCAGCACATCACCTCTGTAGAACCAAAACCTGAAATCTCTGAAATGGTAATTTTACAGCAGAAGGAAAAAAAACATGCCTAACTCTCAGTGTGAGTCAATGTAAACAGACGACCTCTGTTTGTCCCATTTTAATGAAATTTATAATGTTAAGGTCATCTGGTCTTTTCTAATTATTTAAAAAAAAATTAAAATGCAAGAATGTAGATGTGAGGTTTTGTTCCGACAGTGTCGATATATCATCTGTGTCAACGGAACTGGGATCCAGACCTGGTTCTACAGAGGGTGCTTTAGAACTGTGCTACCAAAGCTGTGCTGAATCCTTTACGGTTCTTACTAATCATTTAAACAACACTTTAAAAACGACTTTAAGGGTTCACTGCATAAACGGTTCCTGCCTGAATATCAGCATTTCCAGCCTCACCTCTGCTGTCTCTGCTTCTCTCTGTTCCTCTGGTTCTCCAGCTGTGCCACTGTGTCCTCCATCCCTGCTGGACAGACCGAGTACTTTAACTGCAGCACTCTGCTGGAGGGCAGCTACGTGACCGTGTTCCTGCCCCGAGAGGGAACTCTGAGTCTGTGTGAGGTGGAGGTGTTCGGAGTGCCGCTCTCCCGTCGCCGGAATTAGAGGAATTAGAGGAAGAGTGTCGGCGCTCCTGAAGAGAGAGTGAAACACCTTTTTACCTCCACCTACGATAAAATCATTACTCAGAATGTGCATGTACAGATGTTTCAGTGTAACCAAACATGACTGTAAAACTGAAATAACGTCCTAATAAATTCAGAATGTTGACATTTATGACTGTCTGCATGTGTCTTAAATGCGTTAGACAATATAATATCAGATTGAACCCTCTATAATCAATGTGTTGATCATTATCTAAGTTGACAAGAGATCAAGGTTACTTAAAGGTCTGTATTATGGAAAACTCACTTTTTTTTATCAAACTCAAGAGTTTGTTAAAGTTTCAAAATTGTGCCCCTGACGAGCAGCAACGTGACGTGACAGTGCGACCGGAGATCATTCAGTTTCAATGAGAGCTATTTTCAGGATTCCACAATTTCTAGCAACAGGAGGCACCGTGAACATTGTTGCCGTGGAGTGGGCGGAGTCATGATGCAAGAAAGTTGAGCAAAGTTTAATTTTATGCAAATTAGAAGTGAAGCTGCTGGCGCAAATTCACTAATGCCACCTTGGCTCTTATTAAACAGACTGTGGAGGGATCCTTACCTGTGCCAAAATAAAAGCCCCCAAGGTCATTCCTTCAAGTGAACTGCAGATTCGGTCATTTACAGTAACCCAGAGCTTTAACAGATGGATAAACACAAGCATGCACCACTGTTTCCTGAAACATATACTGGACCATCCTTAGTTCGATCCCTCCTAACAGATTAAATTCCTGGGAACATATCGTGAGAAATTAAAGACCAAAATGAAAAGGTTACCTATTGTTGTAAACGTGCTTATTCCTCATGTGCCGAGTCTCTAGAGTGAGATTTTCCAGTTTAAAACACCTTTTAATGTGTTTAGAATGTAGAGAAATTCTTTTCTTAAACTCTACAGCTGCTTTGGGGTGGAATTTTGAGGGCTGCTTCTGCTAGCTAATGTTAGCAAGGTAGCTACCTGGCTATCTAGATATCCTACCTCAGTTTGGCTAATTTTCTCTGACTGAATGGGTGAAAACTTATCTCGGGTGTTTTTAGTGCCGAATAAAGATTAAATTGATGCTTTCTTTACAATTTTGTTTAACAACTGAGGTCTTACATTAATGTCAGCTTGCTTGTATTTATTAGCCTGTGGCTCACCGGCTAGGCTAGCAGTCAGGATTTTTTGACACCACTGGGATTGTATAATGTATTTCTGCTAAAAGTAGCAAATAACATACTCTAGTTTTAGGGAGGAATTTCCCTTTCACTTTTCATATGCATTTTACCAAGTTACCACATTTTAACTAAATAAAACCCACATTGCTTCACACAGACAAACAGCTAAAATGCCAAATTTAGTCACAGCTGTTTTCTCAAATTTCAGTGTGAATCACAGGTTTATAATTGTGACATTTGGCAAAACTCCAAACATTGTGAGCGAAATTAACTTCTTGTTACGATTTTAACCTGTAATGACTTTTAATGACGTTTCCCTTAAAACACACCAGGCTCCAGACCTCTTGAGCCAAACACAGCAGCTTCAGCACACTGTCTCAGTAAACACACTTGACTTAGCTCATCAGCTAATTAGCGAGACCTTCATGAACTGAATTCAGAGTGTTAGATGATGAGGGTCAACACTGATCTCCACAGCAATTTGGCCCAGAAGGTCCCCAGTTTGACAGGCCTGCCTTAAAATGACTTTTCACTCTATGAATTAATGACATAAAAGCTGCACTGTGTAAGATTTCTCTGGTGGAAGTGTATAACTTAATACAATGTGCAGAGGAACATTTTGTAGCATATGCGGTGCTTTGGCCCCCTTCCCCAAGCGGATTAATCTGATGATTGGAAGAGAATTCAGAGTGAACTCAGTCTAAACTTGGTGAAGGAGCGTCTCTGAGGATGTGAGTGAACCATGTACTACTGTCATCACATCTTCATCAGTATGATGTTGGCTTTGAGATCATTAGAGATCTACACATCGAGCCGGACCTTCTTTTGAGTCTCTGTGTGACGTTAATACGTAAAGACGTACGACGTGGTGTGAAAAACTCGATTCCTCTGATTTTTAAATGATGATTTCAGGTTTTACAGGCGACTCACAGCAGAACACACCATGTTTTAGTGTGTTCTTTATTCTCTTTAGTAACGACACTTCTTTTAGTTTTACAAGATATTACAAAGTTATTAACTTTAACAAGATTAAAGCCCTTTAATCTTGTTCTTTTTTCTGATTGTCCCTTACATGGTGACAGATGGATCAAAGTCCGTTCTCTCTGATCAAACAATCAGAGCGTCCACTATTAGACCCATCACAACAGAGAGCTAAAACTCCAAACCTAGCGGTGCTGGACGGACACAGGTAAGAATCTCTGCCTTTCACATTCCTTTCACAAATGTTTTTTTGGCTTTTATTTACGTAAAGCACGTTGAATTGCATTTGAACTGCCATCCAGACTAAAACAGCTTTTCAGGTCAGTGAAAGCTGAAATTTTGGAAAATGCTTTGCAGGATGGAGATGTTTTAAACTGTTTTCTGTGTTTTCATGTAGACAGATAATGCTTGTTTTTGAAAACAGAGTCAGAAATCTGTTTATGTGATGCAGGTGATGACCGGGTTGTTATTCTGTGATTCACAATTTTGTGTTTGATTACATTTTGCTTAACTTAGCTCTGCCTTTTCATTGAAAGTCAGTCCACACATATAAATCATATTAATAAACCCCTTTTCTTTTCATAAATCTTCATTTTCCTTTGGCCTTGTAATGTTCATAGTGTTTTTTTATGCCATGTGGCATTTTACTGTCCTCCTGCAGCTGTGCTAACAGCTTATGTCAACATTTTATTAGTTTTTTGGATGGAGCGATGTTGAAAAGCTTGGCTGATGTGGACAGAAATGTGTTCATAAAATGATGGGAATAAAAATGTGTTTTAATATCAAGATACGTGTGGATGAGGCCTTAGTGTTAGGGTTAAGAACCAAACTCTTTTATTTTTACCCTGTATGCTGTCTTACCATGTCCAGTTTTTTTGGGGTTTTGGGGTCACATGGCTGTAAGATGGCACTGGTCATAACGACAAGGTGTTGCTCTTCTTATTGGTGTGTTTGTTTGCCTCATGTTTTAATGTAACTTTTGTTGATTGCTTATTCACATACAAGCAACTTGAACTGTTGTCTCGGCTTCAGCCTACCATGTTTTTTTCATTAGATGACTTTGTTCTGAGGACTGACCAAGAATGACCAAACAGCCATAATGAGCAGCAGATTAGAGCAAGGAAACACAGAAAGAGAGCTGGGGTTTCGGTTCACCTGAAGCAACGCAAACACTGGTCAGCATTTCCAAGACTCGTTCTTTCCAATGTGCGGTTTCTGGTAAATAAATAAATAAATATTAATGATAATAAAGATGACTTGGGCATTTTTATCAGCTCAAAACAAGACACTGTTGACTGCTCGGTGATGTGCTTTACGGAGACGTAGCTGGATGGGAACATTCCTGACTCTGTGCTCCACCAGAAGAGCTTTACTCTGCATCGAGCTGACTGTACGCACGCCTCACATAAAAACAGACAGCTGGTGGGACAGTCTGATTATAATACAATCTTTCTCATCCCACGATACCACCAGAGACTGAAGATCTTCAGAAAGGTCACCAGGCAAGTGAATCAGTGGTCACCACAAGCAGCAGAAATGATCAATGACTATTTAAGCACAACAAATTGGAATGTCTTCAGACATGCATGTAATGATGATTTGGATGAGCTGATGGTGTTTGATGGTGTTGGGATGGTTACATAAAAGTTCACATATAAGGTGAATAGGGCAGCTGAGGACGCAGTGTCACTCTGCTTACATTCTATGTTGCAACACGTGGAGGTACCAGGTACATCTGCATGAATCTTATTTATAGATTGTAGCCAAGCATTTAATTCACTATTGCCTTAAAGCCTCTTTAAAAGGCCTCAGAAGTCTGGTGTCCACCAGTCTTTGTGCTATTGGATTCTTGATTTTCTGTCTAACAGAAAGCAGGTTGTTAGAATGAATAATGTGGTTTCCTCTCCTTGAATTCTCAATACTGCCCCCCACAGGGCTGAATAACTTAAGCCTGAACATTGGAAAGACAAAAGAGTTGGTAGCTGACATCAGGACCGATCATCAATGGCAAGGAGGGTGGAGATGGTTGCCTCCTTTGGGATCCTGGGGATGACCATCAGCTCATCTCAGCTAGAGAACATGGTGCGTCCTGGCTCTAAAATCATTGTTTGCAAACTTCCATCTGTTGCCTCTAAACATGCCTAAAGGATGGAAAAGAAAGCATTAAAACTCTAGGCAGACAGTTCACACCCAGCACAGCACCTTTTAAATCGCTCCTTTCTGGCAAAAGCTTTCAAAGTATTTTATGTCGAACGGTTTGGTGTAGTAACAGCGCCTATCCTACAGCTATCAGATCTTGGTTATTTAAATTTATATTAATGTTTGTTTGTTTATTGAAATTGTGAATGTTGTGAATAAATGTATATTGTCTGTATGTTTGAGCAGCAATGAAATGGTAATAAAGTATTGAAACCTGAAACAAATAGTTTGATGTTGACTGCTTTTATCTTGTACTTCATTAGAGTAGACCAAAACACTGAGCATGCAAAAGTCAGAGACCCTTCATTTATCTAGTTTCCAGGTAAAACAGCCATTAATTACAGGTTACTCTTTTTATTAATGTCCAAAATGCAGAAAAAATATATTTAGCAGCAAGAATATTACACAAAAGCCTCAACAACTAAATATCATATCTTTTTTCTGTGTTTAGTGTAGTGATTTGTCAGTGGCAAATTAATCTGCTCTTCACAAGGTGAATGTTGGGAGTCGATTCACATTGAGGAACCTTTTTTTAAGTAAGACAAATTCATGCATAATACAACTTTGTTGGGATTGGTGTCCAGTGATGATGAAACAGCATACAGTTTAACTACTTATGAAAATAACTTATGAAAAAAAGTTATTTATTTTTTTAAATATAATGAAATTTTTGCCAGTTAGTTAATTAAAAGGACTAAACTAAAGTCTTACTGAAATTTAAATAATAGATAATATCACTTACTGAACTGGAGCAGTGCTGCTCAATGAAGAGCCGTTTGGGACCTAACTGAATCGGCTCTTATTTCTGAGCTGAGCAACTGATCTGACTCACTGAGAAGAGCCAGAATGCCCATTACTATCAGTCTGTCCGCTCTTTCCTGGACTCTGGGGTGGTCAGTCCATTGTTGTGAGAGCAATATCCCTCCAGATGTTTTGAATAAATGAAGGTTGGTACATACATTAATCTAACGTTGCTCTGATCTCAGACGCTGAGATGATGCTGCGTGTGCTGTTGCTGCTGTCGCTCCTGTCTGTGTCGGGACTCTCCGCCTCCACAGGTAGACACACCTGAACAAACATGTGATTCTGTGTACCTGCATCTTCAGAGGTCTTATATTTGCTCACTGTGTTGAACAGAGAACCTCGCAGCCGGAGCCAAAGCAGTGCAGTCGTCTACATACAGTCACGTAGGAGGCGCTCAGAAAGCTGTAGATGGTGACAATAACCCTGACTACATGCAGAGCTCCTGCACTCACACTGATTTTGAAGTGAATCCCTGGTGGAGGGTGGAGCTGCCCGCCATCTACAACGTGACCTCAGTGACCATCACCAACCGCGGAGACTGCTGTGGAGACCGGATCAACGGAGCTCAGATTCGGATCGGCAACAGCCTCAAGAACAACGGCAACGACAACAAACTGTGAGAGACTTTTATACTGTTCTCATACGACACGGTGTTAAAGGTGCTCCCATGTTTTCTAGTGTTTTGATTAGGGGTGTAGCGATACAGTCGACCCATGATTTGATTTGATCCTTGATTGGCAAAACTATATTTCCCAATTTTAATTAAAAATTAAAGTGAAAAGCTTAAAAGTTCGAGGTGGTTTAAAAAAAAGAAAGCTCTGCGTCCCAGTGTCCTCACTCCTCCCTGCTGAATCAAGTGTTATTTTTTACAGTGGTGCCAAAACCGAGGCAGTGCAGGACAAATATGTCACCATGGAATCCTCACCATTTGAAGAAATTGTCAAAGCCCTCTTCCTCCTGCAGCAGACCCAACATCAAGCTCTCCTCAACATGCAAAGAGAAAACCAAGCCTAATTAGAGGGCCTCGGCTCAGGGCCAAAAAATGATCAGAAGCTGATGTGGAGCTTGCTTGCAGCACTCCACCTGTGGCCACCATCATAACCTCAAAAGTGACTCCCCAGGATGACCAGAGAAACCTTTGTGGAGCTCTTCAAGAGGGCAGAGGACTGTAGGTGGCTAAGCAAGGACTGGGCTGTCGATGTACTCCTCTTGCTAACAGAGAAATCATAACTTGCCGCCCAACAGCTCCACACTCACCTATAGCTGGAATACAATGAGCTGAAAAAGGCCATCCTTCAGAGGGTCGGCCGGACTCCTGAGCAACACCGGTAACATTTCTGGTTGCTGACACTGCAGGAGATAAACCAGTCTTTTTGCTCAGCAGCTCCACAACTCCTGCAGGAGACGGCTTCTGTCCAAGGCACGTGACTCAGGGGAAGTCCTTGACCTCATAGTACCAGAGCAATTCATCACTTGACTGTCAAAAGAGACAGTGGCATGGGTCCAGTGCCACCAACTAGAATCACTGGAAGAAGCCACCAAGCTGGTGGAGGCACACAGGACAAACCGAGTGAACCAATTTGCTTCAGCACCACTCTGAGCCAGACCTGTGCTGCAGCACTAGTTAATTAAGAATGACAAAAGCTCACTGACTGTGGAAGCTAAACAATAATCCTTCCCTGAATTTGTATTTGAACACCCATTGTTCCCTAATGGAGAGCATAATGTCATAATAAAGTTATTTTTAGGGACCCAGGAATGATTTTGAAACATTCAGGGGGTACCAGAGGATAATTAGGGGGTCCCGAAACCCCCCAGGACCCCGTGTATTTCGCATCTTGTTCACAGGGGCATTCATTATTATCCACTCGTACCAATCACTATCAATTTTTGGAAAGCATAAAAGCATAGTGAAAAGGCAGCAGTTAGTCCTTGCCTCACCTATCCTCTGAATTTGGGGACTAACTGGCTTCAGTTTAAGGGGTTAGTGTGAGAAATGTTAGAGGACGGGTCCTGCAATAAGAAATAGTGTGGGACATGCACATCTCTGAAAAAAGGCATGCTTCTGGCTTCATCTAGGGCTGTTCAAGAGCTGATCCCAAAAGAGAGGCCATGCACCAGGACTTCACCCCACCCCCTTGAGTCCTTTCAGGGATTTCCCTATGGAGCAGTCACATGACAAGACCTTTAACCAAGTGAAAATAATTGATGGTCAATTGCTCAAGCTGGGAATACCCCTGCTTTATCCCCATTTCTCTATTATTAAAGACAGACTATATAGAGTGACAGAGGACACTCAAATGGTAGAAGTGATCACACAGTTGTTGATTCCGCAAAGCTGCAGAGAAATGGTTTTTCTACGTGGCTCATAATAATCACATATGGGAGCATCTGGAGCAGGAAAAGACACTGAGCCATCTAATGGTCCATTATTTACTGGCTAGGCATTCATGGGGATGTATGCAAGTGGTGTGCCTCATGCAGCAAGTGTCAGCCCCTCGTAAACCCCCCGGCCATCCCAAAAGTACCTTTGTGCCAACTGCCTTTAATCAAGGTGTCACGCATCGGGAAGATTCGGACTTCATTTCCCAGCATGTCAAACACATGTCAAAACAACTTCCCTCGGACTCGGAAACCGAAACAGACTCCATTGCCCACAATCCTTTAGGAGATCACATGACATCAGACAATCGCACACGCACCTATCAGCGCTCCCGATCGCCTGAATACTAATGTTGTGCACCTGTGTATCCTGTCATATGACCATATTAGTTCAGTATATAAGCCCGGGCTTTAGACGTAGACATTGCGAGGTATTGTTTATTCCAAGAACTTACTGAGCGTTATATTCTGATTGTCTTTGCCTGTTATGACCTGTGCTTTGTTTTCTTGACCTTGTTTTTTGCTTCACCCCTTTGTACTGCTGCCTGTCGTTTGTGGATCTGTGTTTTTGACCTTTTGGCTTGTTTTTTGACCACGATTTTTGCTTATTCCCTTTGTTCTCGTCTGCCTGGTGTTATTATCATGATTGTGATCGGGCTGGCTTTTTTGGATTTGACCCACGCCTGTTTTCTGACCACGGCTTTGCCTGACGATAATAAAACAACTGTTGCACCTTTTATCCGCGAGCGTCTGAATTCTGTTGAAACGTCACACAAGGTCCCCTTTGAGAAAAGCGTGGACCATTAGATGATAATAATAATAATAATAATAATAATAATAATTTTATTTATATAGCACTTTTCATGCCAGTGGCTGCTCAAAGTGCTTTACGGACAGGTGATAAAACATAGTTATACAAGAAATCATTACTATTTATTTAGAATCAGAAGAAAATGAAACATCAAATTTGAATACAAATACCACTTTAAGTTTTTCCTCCTCCTTGAAGACCCCTCGTTTGTAGATGTACGTTTGACATATACAGTCCAATTTTATGTACTGTGGGAAATGTTTCATGTTAATGAGGTCAGCCAACATCTTCAGTTGCATGTACAGAGATGCTTTGACCATGTTTGTGAGAAACTGAAGGGAGCTCAAGTCGGCCTCTGTGAATGCCCGCCCCCCTCATGGAATCCATAAGTCTTTCTTCCCTCCATGCAGCGGTTGTACATAATATCCTCCACAACATTTGTCTCATTTATCTCATTTTGTCTTATTGCATTCTTTGAGTGTCCCAATGCACTCAGGTGTACCAGGACCGCTTGCTTGTGCACTCTTGCTACAGCTTGTGGGCTCTTGCTACAGCTTCGCAAGGGCCAAAAGGTGCCTCACAACAAGTAACAGAGTTTTCCCTGTCATAGCTTGCTTATGAAACCCTGGTATTTTGCCTGTGTTTCACCATGAACACAAGGTTTGGGTCAATATAGTGCAAAGGACTAGAAAATTGTTCTGATGAACTGATGTCAGTCAATCCCTAGTAAAGGCAATTGGAAGAGTGGAAAACTATCTGGCACTGAAAAGCATAGAACAAAAAAGTTTTTCATTTTGAACTGTGTCAGACACCCAATTGTCTCTTCTGAGCAGCAACTCATGAGCTGCAAGGTAGTGAATATGTACGCTCAAGCATTAGTTGCCAAAACACACCATTAGTGCTGTAGGCTGAATGGGAGGAGCTAAACTGTTGTAGACTGAATGGGAGGGGCTAAACTGCTGTAGACCAAATGGGTGGGGCTAAACTGCTGTAGACTGAATGGGAGGGGCTAAACTGCTGTAGACCAAACGGGTGGGGCTAAACTGCTGTAGACTGAATGGGAGGGGCTAAACTGCTGTAGACCAAATGGGTGGGGCTAAACTGCTGTAGACTGAATGGGTGGGGCTAAACTGCTGTAGACTGAATGGGTGGGGCTAAACTGCTGTAGACCAAACGGGTGGGGCTAAACTGCTGTAGACTGAATGGGAGGGGCTAAACTGCTGTAGACCAAATGGGTGGGGCTAAACTGCTGTAGACTGAATGGGTGGGGCTAAACTGCTGTAGACTGAATGGGTGGGGCTAAACTGCTGAAGGTTCACAATCTCCATTCTAGTTCGTCCCAAAGGTGTTGGATGGGGTTGAGGTCAGGGCTCTGTGAGGGTCAGTCAAGTTCTTCCACACCAAACTCACCCAGTCAGGCCTTTATGGAGCTGCTTTGTGCACTGGGGCTCAGTCATGCTGGAACAGGAAAGGATTACTCAAATTACTCAAATACATCATACGGTCGTTGGGAATCTCTGTGGTGTCACCCAATCCTGACTGCTAGCCACTGAGCTATAGGCTAATAAACACAATCCAGCCAGCTTTAGTGTTGTTCTTACCTTGATTGTTAAACAAAAGTATAAAGAATTTAATCTTTTAATTTGTTTAGCACTAAATGAACAGAGTTTACCAGAGTTTTTACCTTTTCAGTCAGAGAAAAAGAGTCGAACTGAGGTAAAATATCTAGATAGCCAGTTAGCTACCTCGCTAACACTAGCTGTTAGCTTGTTCTCCTCCTCATTCCTGTGGTTTGAGTGATCCTCTCTCTCCACTGTGATGATGATGTGAAGACTACAGTAATATGGCTGTAATAACACAATCAGCTTCCTAGCAGTAACGTTGATCTGTCTTTATTCTGTATTGACCAGCTAATGGAAAAAAAACAAAACAACATTGAAAACTCACTCTAAATGGTTAAAGGAGCAATATTTAATACTGACAGTAAGCTTTTAAAATGAGTACTGCAGTCCAAATTCAAAATATTGGTGAGATTCGTCTGCCCCACTCCCATCCGCATGGCTAGTTATGTACAGTAGCCAAAGCTAAGCCCGTTATCCCGAAAAAACAAAAGCCCACTGCTCCGAAAATACTCACTACCTTGATGAAGCTGAAGTTGGCTTCTTATTCACCAGTTTCTTGTTTGCATTTTCCTGTTCCACCTTAAAACACTTAAGTTGGAATGGGAAAATTCAAGCTAGAAGCTGGTGAATAGGAAGCCAACTTCAGCTTCATCTGCCTTGATAACTCAGCTGCACATGGACCACAGAGTATAAATACTAGAGTGTTGAAATCACTTAAAATGTCCATCCCAGCTAGCAGCCATGATGAATTATCTAGTTAAACTTAGCTGAATCTCGGCGCTTACCTGTTCGAGAGAAAATCAGCGAACTCAGCATCCGTCTTAAAGTCGTTCTGGGCTCTAAGCTTCTCCATCTTTCAAATGCATCGCCAATATTCACTCACGTTTTACTGCGTCTCTGGTCATGGGGCTTTTTAGAAGGATGCCGAGGCTTTTTTAAGTTGGAATCCAGCTTGTTTCCTTGCTCCTGCGACTGCAGCGCGATGTGTTTGCCTGCCAATTTGTTTCATATCTGGCAACCGAGGGTGTCAAAACGGTGCTGGGAAATGGGCAGTGGGCGGGATCACAGACCAAAACACAAACAGACGTTCTGCTCCGGAACAGAGATTTCAAAGGAGGACATGCTGGCTGTAGTGCTGCTCTCGGAGAAGCCATTATTTCAGTTTATCAAATTTCCTTAATCTCTGATGACACATCATGGTCATTTTCTGATTTGGTACAGTGAATATATTACAGATTGATCCTTTAAAGCTTACTCTAGAGAACACTGCAGTACTGTAGGAGGAGTGCAGGAATACTTACAACAAATGTAGTGATGGTAAATTTTTCATTGTGGCTGGAAAGATATCAGACTTGAACATCAACATAAACAAAGTATTTTATAGTGGTTGTTTTTTTCACAGCTGGACAGATTATAAAGATTTACAAAATAGGATATATGGTTTTTAAAACAGAGCATGCTGACATGTAATGCATGATTTGACCACCTCAGATATTCCCAAGTCAGAAATTTAGCTGATAATAATAGAAATACAATTAAAAAATATATATTAGTCTTCAATTTTACTCGTTCAAATACATTTCTAATATTGCTCTCTCTCTCTCTCTCTCTCTCTCTCTCTCTCTCTCTTTCTGTATCTCTCTCTCTCTCTCTCTCTCTCTCTCCAGAGTTGCGGTCATACGAGCCATTCTAACTGGCCACACCAGATCGTACAGTTTCCACGACGCAGTAGGACGTTATGTGAACATCTTCCTCCCTGGAGAACCGAAAGCTCTGACATTATGTGAGGTGCAGGTATTTGGAGGTAACTGATTTCAGTGCTGTCCCCCAGGGCTGGGCAGTATGACAATGTGTGTCATTATAAATAACATCACAACGTGTCAAAATAAGCTTTTCCGAGCATATTGTGGATTATAACCAGCACTTAAAAACACTTTCCAGCTGCATGTTTGATTACAAGGAGTCCTGTTTAACTGGATTTAGTGCAGCACAGTGTGTGAAACTTTTGGATTCATAGTTTTATAGTGTTTGTTAAATGTGATTCGCTCCAACTTATCAGATGTCATAAAAAATAAATAACATGAATTGTGTATCATGAAAACCATGTACTGTAATATCATGAAGTATTGTGATATCACATTTTTGCTATTATTGTCACTCCAGTGGACCATCTAATCGGTCTGAGAGGGCCAAATGATTTCTGTGAAATAAAAAATACATTTGCAATTTTAATTTTTTTAAACACGTAATGGAAAATCATCCAATCAGGATTGTTCTCTATGTGGTATCTGGAGATACAGCTGAGCTGCTCTCCCATTCGTTAGGACCTCAGGAGCTGGACTGAAACCCCATAGGTGCGCTAGCAGCAATTAGGCCAAGCTCTAATATTCACGCTTCTCTGATCATGATGAACATTTTAATGTCTAACATTGGTTATTATTGATTAACCACCCCCCGTTTTATCTTCTCACAGACGTGATTGACGAACAGAAGGCGAGTCTCCTCCCTGGTAAGTAAACATTAAACTCATATTTACGGCAGATGTCCAGACTAAGTTTATAAGTGTGATGTTGAAATTAAAGATTGGTTGACATTAAATAAGTTTACATTGATTTCCAAAAAAAAAAAAACTGGTCCTCAAGTTCAAGAGCTGATTATTATAGCCATGGAGGAACCACTAGAGGCTCCTTGAAGCACCTTTCAGTGGATAAAGAACCCTTTTGTAAGTGTGATGTATGAGGGTCAAGAATCTTTTTGAAGTTTAAATAATCTCCACACAACGTAAAAGTCCTGTACCTCATTTTTCGGAAGAAGAGCCTCCCGTCCTGATGTTTGTTGTGATGATGTTCCTCCTCAGAGAAAGCCGGCCTCCGCAACGTCGCCCTCAAAGGAAGAGCCACCCAGTCCAGTCTGAACGGCTCTGGAATGTGGGCCGGCTTTGGGATCGCTGGAAACGCCATCGATGGGAACCGGAACTCGAACCTGATGATGGGCTCCTGCACTGAAACAGCACAGGAGAGTGCCCCCTGGTGGAGGGTGAACCTTCATCGCAAATACACAATGTCCACCGTGGCTCTGACCAACCGAGGGGACTGCTGTCCAGAAGGTTTAGACGGTGCCGAGATCCGGATCGGGAATTCTATAGAGAATGAGGGAAAAGATAATCCACTGTAAGTAGACGACGGTTCAGGAAAACTTTGTGTAAAGTACTGTGCAAAAGTCAGAGACCCCCTTATTTATTTAATTTCCACTCAAAACAGTCATTAAATAAAAGTTATTCATGTTTCAGCATCAGAAAAAAAGCAGAAAACAATCTTTAACAGGAAATTACCCAGAATCCTCCACAGCTAGTCTGCTTTCAGCTGTGTTCAGTGTTCAGTGAGTCACTCTTTCCCTTTATTCCAGCTTCCATTCTGTTCAGGAGCCTCACTTTCAGTTCCTCAAAGAATCTGCAGACACACCTCCAAAGTTCAGTCTTAGAAGCTGCTTGATGATTTTCTGAAGTAATCAAACACATTCAGTGGTGTTGAGGTCTGGACTCTGGGGTGGTCAGTCCATCGTTCAGCTTCTTTGTTTGATGTGTCCGTCTCCTTTTCTCAGTGAGGTTCTTCTTGATCAGCTACACATCCTTTCAGACCCACAGCGCTGAGTCGTCTTCTCACAGTGGAAGGATGGACAGAAACACCTGTGGATGTTTTCAGATCTGATCAGCTTGATTTTCTCCTCTCTCTCAGAGATGAAAGCTTTAAGTGCTGTTTATCTGATGGGGCAGTTTTGGGGTCGACCAGCTCTTCCAGGTGGTTGTTAGGAGCCACATTTTCTCTGTGGATGTTAATCAACCCCAACTCCCTTTGACTTTCTCCTTCTGTATATGAGTGGATTATCTGATATCTGATCTCCTGAGAAATATCTCTTCTGAACGATCATTAACTTGTACTTAATTAAATAATTAAATAAATGAAGAGTGTTCTCTGAAAGTTGTACAGTACTGTATGTAAATTTGGATTTAGAAAAAGTCTAATTTTACTGTTCAAAATCTCCAGTGAAGAGTTCCTTCACTCTTTCAGCACATCACCTCTGTAGAACCAAAACCTGAAATCTCTGAAATGGTAATTTTACAGCAGAAGGAAAAAAACATGCCTAACTCTCAGTGTGAGTCAATGTAAACAGACGACCTCTGTTTGTCCCATTTTAATGAAATTTATAATGTTAAGGTCATCTGGTCTTTTCTAATTATTTAAAAAAAAATTAAAATGCAAGAATGTAGATGTGAGGTTTTGTTCCGACAGTGTCGATATATCATCTGTGTCAACGGAACTGGGATCCAGACCTGGTTCTACAGAGGGTGCTTTAGAACTGTGCTACCAAAGCTGTGCTGAATCCTTTACGGTTCTTACTCATCATTTAAACAACACTTTAAAAACGACTTTAAGGGTTCACTGCATAAACGGTTCCTGCCTGAATATCAGCATTTCCAGCCTCACCTCTGCTGTCTCTGCTTCTCTCTGTTCCTCTGGTTCTCCAGCTGTGCCACTGTGTCCTCCATCCCTGCTGGACAGACGGAGCACTTTAACTGCAGCACTCTGCTGGAGGGCAGCTACGTGACCGTGTTCCTGCCCCGAGAGGGAACTCTGAGTCTGTGTGAGGTGGAGGTGTTCGGAGTGCCGCTCTCCCGTCGCCGGAATTAGAGGAATTAGAGGAAGAGTGTTGGCGCTCCTGAAGAGAGAGTGAAACACCTTTTTACCTCCACCTACGATAAAATCATTACTCAGAATGTGCATGTACAGATGTTTCAGTGTAACCAAACATGACTGTAAAACTGAAATAACGTCCTAATAAATTCAGAATTGTAATAAAATTGATATTTATGACTGTCTATATGTGTGTAAAATGCATTAGACAATATAATATCAGACTAAACCCCCTATAGATGAGGAGAAATCAAGTTCCCTTTAAAGCACCCCTTATAAGAAGCATTTCAGTCTGGACTGCTTTTGGAATGAGGAACAACACAGGACAGCCAATCAGAACAGAGCTCATTTACACACACCGGCCAGCCTTTACGCACTTTGCTAGATGGAGGTGTTTAACAGGAGGAGTGCTGCTTGGTGGGGAAACTGAATGAAACTTTAAAATGCGTATATTCTGTGTTTACATTACTGAGATGAAGGTCAACTCAGTGTATGTTGTCTGTCAGACATTAGAAGAGAAACTGTAATAAGCTGATAATATTCAGTCATAAACCACCTTCTCTCTTATTTAAATACACTGACTGTGGAGGGTTACTAACCTTACTTAGAGGTCACTACCTCAAATGAATTTGGTCATTTACGGTAACCTGGAGAATATTAACAGCTGGATAAACACAAACGAGCACCACTGTTTACTGAAACTGCACTGGACCGTCCTCAGTTTGATTCTTCCTAACAGATTAAATTCAGTTATTTTTAGTGAGGACATGCAAAGTTAAAAACCAAAATAAAAAATTCACCCGTCATTGTAAACATAGTTATTTCTCATCCTCAGTGCTGCACTGCAAAATAATAAATCTTACATCTAATTGTAACGCTGCACAAGCACAAGAAGACGCTCGCGGGTCTTAAAAACAAAAGTCTGTTTAATGAGGTGCAGATGGAAAGACAGTTTCAGGGCAAATCCAAAATCGAAATCCAAAAACCAGGCAAGAAACCGGAAAAGACAAAAACATAAAGGCAACCAGAGCAGAAGGGCAAATACAAAAAGCGAAGTCCACAAAACAGGCAAAGGGTTCAGAACACAAGTCAAGAAATCAGAATAACAACACTCAGGAAACCAGGGAAATGGCAACACCTCGCAATGAGGAGAGCAAACCAAAGACCATTTAAAGTCTGAGACAGACAGACACAGGTGAATCGCATTAGAACTCAGGTGACTGAGAATGAGGCAGTTGCACATGATTGGAGGAATTGGTGACATCATCGGGACTGGAATTATGGGAAATGGAGTCCTGGAGCGTGCTAGGCAAGGAAGGAGAACTCGGAAGCGTGACACTAATCAGTCTAATATTTCTCATTATGAGATTTTGAATAAGATCATTGAACTTATTTCTAGACATTTTTTTACTTGTTTTAAGTCACAATGAAATGAGAAATAAGAAAAACATAAAATAATCCAGTGGAATGATTTCACTTTCCCTAGATAAAATGACTTAAAACAAGTAAAGATGTGTAGAAACAGGTTAAATAATCGTATAATATTCTTACAAAATCTGATAATATATTGATATATTGACTACATTTAAAATGTTTTCATTTTTGTGGTGCTGCTGTGTCTCTAGAGTGAGATTTTCTGGTTTAAAGATGAGAAAAGCACCTGCTGTATCTTAAAAGTGAGATGATCTTTTTTAAATGTTTTGTTTTTTTTCCATTAGCTGGTCAATACAGAATAAAGACAGATCACTAACGTTACTGCTAGGAGGCTGATTGTGTTATTACAGCCATATAACTGTAGTCTTCACATCATCATCACAGTGGAGAGAGAGGATCACTCAAACCACAGGAATGAGGAGGAGAACAAGCTAACAGCTAGTGTTAGCGAGGTAGCTAACTGGCTATCTAGATCATTTTTTTCCAGTTCGGCTCTTTTTCTCTGACTTTAAGTGTAAACACTCATCTTTGTTGTTTATTTAGTGCTGAATTTTCAAAAACTGTAAGATTAAATTTATATTTTCTTGATTTTGTTTACGTTAGTAGATACACTAGCGCTAGCTTATCTGTATTAGCCTGTAGCTAAGCTCACCAAGTGAATGGGTTATAATCGAGCATTTGAGCATAATCATAGTTTAGAAATGCTTTTTAATGTAAACATTTTAATGTAAAATTAATGTAAAATTAAAACTAAATTTCCTGAACACAGAACAGCATAAAACATTTTAACACTGCTGTTATATTTTAAGAGCTTTTAAACTGGTTTTAAGATCTGTGAAAGTGATTTGAAACTATTTTAACTTTTCGTTTTTAGCCGTTGAGCTCCATTCACAGCTTTTTTCCACAAATTTAAAGGTTTATAATGTGCAACTTGTGTTGAAACTGCCAGACATCATGATCATAATTAATTTATTGTTATGATTTCATTTGTAATGATCCGTAACGACGTTTCCCTTAAAATGACCTTTTAATCCATAAGACTGACATGTTTCTGGAGCTACAGCATCAGTGTTTACATAAAGCAGCACAATGTACGATTTTGGGGATTTGGAGCCCTCTCTGGTGGAAATGTACGTCACTGCACGCAATGCACGGAAGAACGTTCTATAGCGTATGCTGTGCTTCAGACCCCCACAAGCGGAGGAATCTGATAATTGAACTATAATTCAATATAATTATATGAGTGAACTCAGTCTAAACTTGGTGAAGGAGCGTCTCTGAGGATGTGAGTGAATTATCTACTATAGTCAGCACATCTTCATCAGTATGATGTTGATTTTGAGATCATCTGAGGCTGAAACATCGAGCCGGACCTTCTTCCAGAGTCAGTGTGTGACGTTAATACATAAAGACGTACAACGTGGTGTGAAAAACTCGACTCCTCTGACTTTAAATGATTATTTCAGGCTTTACAGGCGACTCAGCAGCGCAGACTTACCTGTTCTTCATTCTCCTCACTCAGTAACGACACTTCTTTCAGTTTTAACTAAAAACATTACATAGCGCTGATTTAATTATCAGTCAAATTTACTTTAGATTAAAAAAGTCCTTTAGATTTGAAGTCCTTTAATCTCCTTGCTTTTTCCTGATTGGCCCTTATATGGTGTTGACAGATGGGTTGAAGTCCATTCTGTCTGACCAAACCGACAGAGCGTCCACTACGAGACACATCACAGCAGAGATCTAAAACTGGAGTCACAGCTCTGCTGGACAGACACAGGTAAGAATCTCTGCACCTGTTCAGATTCCAGTGGTAACATCTGTTTTATTTGCATACTGAGAGAATTTACCCCATCCAGCCGCCCACACAGACAGACATTCACAAACCTGCTGCTTGTGTTTGTTTAGTTCTGCTTTGTTCTTGTCTGGTTTATTTCATTTGATGCATTTTGCTTGTCTGTTTATTTTGCCACATGAAATTCATCCAGTTAGATTCTTTAGCAACATCTGACATATTCTATTTTTTTAAATAACTAACAGAACACAATTTTTGTTGGCTAGTTAATTGAAAGGAGCTACACTATTTAATACTGTTGTTGTTAAAACTGAAAGAAGTGTCGTTACTGAGTGAGGAGGATATAAACACACTAAAACATGGTGAGTGTGTTCTGCTGTGCGTCGCCTGTAAAGCCTGAAATAATCATTTAAAAGTCAGAGGAGTCGAGTTTTTCACACCACGTCGTACGTCTTTACGTATTAACGTCACACACTGACTCAAAAAGAAGGTCCGGCTCGATGTTTCAGCCTCAAAGGATCTCAAAATCAACATCATACTGATGAAGATGTGATGACAATAGTAGATGATTCACATCCTCCTTCACCAAGTTTAGACTGAGTTCTCTCTGAATTCTCTTCCAGTCATCAGATTCATCCACTTGGGGAAGAACAACACACTATAAAATATTCCTCCACACATTGCATGCAGTAACACATTTCCACCAGAGAGGGCTCCAATTTCCCACAAAATATTACACAGTGCAGATTCAAATGATAGATAATATCACTAACGTGGCAAAAAAAAAAAATACAAAACACAAAAAACGACAGTGCTACTGAATGAAGAGCTGTTTGGGAGCTGATCAAATCAGCTGAGCTGACAGATCTGACTCACTTAACACCTTTAAACCTTTATTCCAGCCTCCATTCTTTTCAAAGAATCTGCAGACACACCTCCAAAGTTCAGTCTTAGAAGCTGGTTGATTATTTTCTGAAGTAATCAAACACATTCAGTGGTGTTGAGGTCTGGACTCTGGGGTGGTCAGTCGATTGTTGTGAGAGCAATATCCCTCCAGATGTTTTGAATAAATGAAGGTTTGTACATACATTAATCTACCGTGTTGTTCTGATCTCAGACGCTGAGATGATACTGCATGTGTTTTTCCTGCTGTCGCTCCTGTCTGTGTCGGGACTCTCTGCCTCCACAGGTAGACACACCTGAACAAACACGCGATTCTCTGTACCTGTATCTTCAGCAGTATCACGGGGAGGGTCTGACCATCCTAATGATGCTGCTGCTCAGACTCGAACCATTTAATCCCAGACACTGCATCACCTGCTCTTTCCCTTTTCTGTATTTTAATATTTTACACTAATGTTAAAATGTTATTCTCTGCTCATGGAGCTCAGACCCAGATTTTTCTGTAAAGCTGCTTTGTGATAACACCTGCTGTAAAAAGCACTATATAAATAAACCTTGACGTGACTTATATTCGCTCACTGTGTTGAACAGAGAACCTCGCAGCCGGAGCCAAAGCAGTGCAGTCGTCTACATACGATCACTTGGGAGACGCTCAGAACGCTGTGGATGGTGACAATAACCCTGACTACCTGCAGAGCTCCTGCAGTCACACTCATTCTGATGTGAATCCCTGGTGGAGGGTGGAGCTGCCCGCCATCTACAACGTGACCTCAGTGACCATCACCAACCGCGGAGACTGCTGCGGAGACCGGATCAACGGAGCTCAGATTCGGATC